TAAGCGGACCTTTACCCTTATCTTTAAAATAACAACAAACACACCTTTAGAAATGTTTAGTAATGACAATCTACAAACACATACTTCTAGATAATTGCCGGATTTGTATTCTTTGCATACCTTGTTTCCCTTTTATTTCCTAGTCTTCTTTTTTTTTTTATTCAAAGCGTCTTTATTGAAACGTAGAGTACTAAAATACAGAAGGTACAATAACTCAGTGCAGTTACGTCTCAAACAATTGTTACAGGAATGAACATAGCGAGTTACCGTGCATCTACCATAAAGATGAATACAGTAATATTTCCCATCCAGGCAACCACACAGTGGCGGTCTGCCACTATACTGGCGTTAAGCATTATATTCATTGCATGGGTGCAAGAACATGTGCATCCCCTTCCATGCCGGCTGAGTGTGCCGTGCTATTCAGCAAAAAGGGCGCAGGCCGGCGTATCGAGGGCAGGCACACGTCAGCACCTTCCGAAAGAGTGAGTTGTCAAAGTTTTATGGGGTGGAGCATAAAGACACGGGGATCGAAGTGAGAAGGAGAGTGGGAAGTGGTAGGAGAGAGCATGGGAAAAGGGGGGAACAGCATGGAGTAGGATAAGAGTGGCAAAGAGGTGTTAGGGTGGAGATCATGAGATAGAGAGGCCAAATGAAGGACACAGTGCAAAGGACTGCAGCACAAAGGTTATCTAGTGGAGGCTGGGTGTCCTCTCCGAACCAGTACCTAGTAATACCTGCCCGGGGGATGCTGCCGGAGAAGCGCAACTCGACTCGGCTCCGAGGGGTGAAGACATTACGCGGGAGTAGGCCTCCGAGTGTTGAAAGGCGAGCCATGGGCCCCAGGTGGATCTGGATTTCCCGTCCGTGTTTTTAAGGGTGGAGGAAAGATCCTCCATATGATAAATGTCATCAACTTTGGCAATCCACATGCAGAGGGAGGGGGGCGCGGAGCGTTTCCATAGTAAGGGGATACACGCACGGGCAGCATTCAGTAAATGTATCGCCAAGGAGGACTTGTATCGACTGATAAAACACTCCAAAAGGTGTAGCAAGCAAGCCGGTGGATTGTTTTTCACATTAAAGGGGTTCTAAAGCCTCCGGTCTTTTTGCCTATATCTACTGCTAGCAAGCAAAAAGTAAAAAAAAAAAAAACAGCTTTAACAGCGGTTTAACCCCTTCATGACTGAGGCCTTTTTTTCATTTTTTGCACCCATGTTATATTCCACATTTTAGGCCTGAAAATTACTTAAACCCCCCACACATTATATATTTTCTGAATGCCAAGACCCTATACAATATAATGGTGGTAGTTGCAAATTTTTATGTTGCGCAATATTAGCGCAACTCCTTAAAAAACCCCAAAATTAAGTGATAAATGTAATTAAATGCCCCAAAACACAACAAAATACCCATTTTTTAAATGAAATATAAAAGATGAGGTTACAACGAGTAAAACGATACCCAACATGCCCAGTTTACAAATTGCGTGCATCCGTGAAACGGCGAAAAACCCCAGTACCCCAAAAAGTCCATAGAAGACGCTTTAAAAGCCCCCACAGGTCATCAATTTAGAGATACCCCAAAATACTGGCCCTAGAATTATTGCTCTCACTCCGGCGTGCGCGGCGATACCCAACATGTGTAGCGCGTTCGTCGTTTTCATACGTAGGCGCACCCGATGTGTGTTTACGTGGCGACGCGCGTGCTCGAGGGGGTGGGGGACTTTTACATTTTTTTTATTATTGTTATTAGATTTATTTATTTTGATTTTAATTTAAAAAACTGTTTTCTTTTGTTTTTTTACTTGACTTTGAGAGCCGCCGCACCGCTGGAGGGACAGATGAAAACATGGGGAAAGAAGAAGATCGGATTAAGAAACATAATTTAAAGGAGAACTATGGAGTTAGGGCTTTTCCCCATAGTTCTCCTTAGGGTAACGGGAGGACACAAACTAGCGTCCTCCCGTCACCCTAAGCTCAGTATACCGTTAGCTACTGCTCGCGGTATACTGAGACACCGCAGCTGAAGCGAATCCCGACAATTATGTCTGGATCCGCCCAGCTGCGTGAGTGACAGCTGGTTCTGCCTATCTAGAGGCAGAGCCAGCTGTACCCGCCCCCTCCCCGTCCGTTCCGCCAGTCAGTGCTGTAAGGTTGGCATCGGGGAGGGGGGAATCCAGCCCCTCCCCTGTCACGGCACAGAGCCATGACAGGATCGAGAAGTGAGCGAACGATTGTATGTGTTCACTCACTTCCCCGATCTACTGAGCCGACCTGTGACAGTCTCATTGTCACAGGTCGGCTAGAACTATGAGGTGAGTGAAAAGCACTCACCTCATAGTTCTCCTTTAAGGTAATTGCTAACACATTAACATGGGGGGGTGGGGGGAGGGAGGGAAATGTTTTTTTACATTAATGTCACTTTAAGCATTTAGAGGTTGCTCGACCACCACCAGGACCTGAACCCATAAGGGCCACACCTTCAAACATGTCCAGAAAATATGAAGCAGTGTACCCGGGGCATCATGACAGCGCCAACAAAGGGGTGAGACCCGGGGGAACATAGAGTGTTCTATTTCCTAGTCTTCTGGCAGTGGCCATGTTTACTAAGGGTAGATTACTAGCTCTACATTTACTTCTTGAAACACTGACACATTTGAATAGACATGTAACCACGTACATCATCTCAGGGGAGAAAAATGCCTTTCCAGTTAAGATTTCCCAGCAACGCTTTGTAACCTTCCCAGGATGCATTGCTTTGGCACATACATCATTTGTTCCAGAACTGAACTCTATTTGTAAGTAAATAAAAAACAAGTTTGTTTAACTAATGAATGTAAGTTGATTTTAAATATGCATGCAGATCTGCATACTGCTGTGATTTTTAGTAAAAAGGTGTAAGTGAGCAGCTGGGGCATGCAGATGAAGTGGAAAAGGGAGGTGCTGCAACAATTCTTTGGGTGCTGGAGCTGGGGCAAATTGTGGGTGGTTCCTCAAGGAGGCCTAGGGACCACAGTGTTGTTGTCATGTCAGTGGAACTATAAGCTCTGTAAGTGTGATGAAGCTCTGTTGTTGTAAAAAGGATTTGTTGACCATCGCTGCCTTGTTTAGTTTCTTCATGTTCTGCTCCTTATCTGGACCTGTGTTATGCAAGCAAGGGACTCTACCACGCACAAGACTTGTTTGTAGCCTCTGATTAAGTATTTTGTCTGTGTGGTTTTGTGTAGGGAATCCATTTCACTAGGTGTATGCTCATTGCAGTATGTGGATCCCATCATTAGTTCAGACTTACACAGACCTACGTATCAGACAGGTGACTGGTTTGCATTGGGGGGAAGCGGGACCTGCACTCATGTGGATGGTCAACATTCTATTCAGCTTCCTGGCAGTGCTAGCAGGGTCGGTCTGTGCAGTAGGTCTGCAAGGGGAACTTTGTAATGAATGATTATTGATATGCCTGGGCGCTGTAATGCATGGGAGTAGTAATCTTTCACTATACCACCAGCAATGAGATAAGTGGTACCCAACTACAGTCCTTGAGGATTCTGATCCACAAACATTTTTAGTATTCTAACAGACAACAGGGAGTAGGAGTGATGAGGTGACCCCCTACATCCGCCAGACACATATGAAGAGGTATAGATAGGAGTGATGAGGTGACCCCCTACATTCCCCAGACACATATGAAGAGTCATAGATAGAAGGGATGAGGTGACTCCCTACATCCCCCCGACACATATGAAGAGTCAAAGATGGGAGGGATGAGGTGACCCCCTACACATATGAAGAGTCATAGATAGGAGTGATGAGGTGACCCCCTACATCCGCCAGACACATATGAAGAGGTATAGATAGGAGTGATGTGTTGACCCCCTACATTCCCCAGACACATATGAAGAGGTATAGATAGGAGTGATGAGGTGACCCCCTACATCCGCCAGACACATATGAAGATTCATAGACAGGAGTGATCGGGTGACCCCCTACATTCCCCAGACACATATGAAGAGGTATAGATAGGAGTGATGAGGTGACCCCCTACATCCCCCCGACACATATGAAGAGTCATAGATAGAAGGGATGAGGTGACCCCATACACATATGAAGAGTCATAGATAGGAGTGATGAAGTGACCCCCTACATCTCCCAGACACATATGAAAAGTTATAGATGTGAGTGATGAGGTGACCCCCTACATCCCCCAGACACATATGAAGAGTCATAGATAGGACTGATGAGGTGACCCCCTACATCCCCCAGACACATCTGAAGATTCATAGACAGGAGTGATCGGGTGACCCCCTTCATCCCCCAGACACATATGAAAAGTCATAGATAGGAGTGATGAGGTGACCCCCTTCATCCCCCAGACACATATGAAAAGATATAGATATGTGTGATGAGGTGACCCCCCTGCATCCCCCAGACACATATGAAGAGTCATAGATAGGAGTGATGAGGTGACCCCCCATATATATATGAAGAGTTATAGATAGGAGTGATAAGATAACCCCCCCAGACACAGATGAAGAGTTATAGATAGGAGTGATGAGGTGACCCCCCCATACATATATGAAGAGTTATAGATAGGAGTGATGAGGTGATCCCCTCAGACACATATGAAGAGTTCTAGAAGTTATAGATAGGAGTGATGAGGTATTCTCCTATACACTAGTTTTGGCAGGAATCCTCATGGTAGTCCTAGGCCCCCTTTGTACAGGATGGTCCTTTCTAGCCCATTGTCCTGAGCAGCACACCATGAAAATGTCTCCCAATTTCCCAGCAATATCGGCAACTACTACAGTGGCGTTACTGCATTAAACCCAGAGAAAAAATGGGCACAAAATTCGAGTTGCTGCGACCAATCGGGTGCCACATTGAAGTGTAAGGATCAACGGATGCTGAATTCTGATTGGTCTCCATGGGCAACCAGTGCAGCTCCTTTTGTGGTGTGCAGGGTGAAGGCAGCAGCGCCGTGTGCGGGACACCAGTGGAGAAGTTAGTGCGGTGCTGCCTCTAGGACCCGGCGGCCTCCTCCGTACTTCCTGCCTGACTCGCACACGCTCAGCCTGCCAGCCCCGGAGCCGCGGCCTCGTCCTGCTACCTCCTCCTCAGGCCAGGCCGGGGACACCATGTGAGAACAGGCCGCTCCGTACTTCTGCCTTCCTTCAGACCTGTCTCAGGTGAGTACAGGACAGTCCGGGCCTGGCGGAGTCCGGGGGGTATATCCCGGATCCTTCCAGCCTGCACTCTCCATCAACTTCTGCTGATCGGGATAATGTATGGAACTATGGCACATCGGCTGTGTATAGGTCAGTGTGGTGGGAGAGGGGGGGTGCTGACCGGAGTCGAGCGCCGGCCACACTTCTCATCATAACAAATCATTATGGAGTGTGATGTGACGAGAGAGGCCCAGGCTGAGATGAAATGGCCTCCTTGTTATTAATCCGAATCATTAATTTGTGTACAGCCCTGCCGCTTCCTGCTTCCCCCTCAATCACATCCGTCTTATTGTCCCAATCGTCCTTTTATTATTATAATAACATGGAGAGTGAAAAGTTGTGCCGGTCCAGGATGCTTTCTGTGCATTGTGTGTCCTGTGGACACGGAGCTTCCTCTGGAGACATTGGACTCCTGCACACCCCCCTCTTCCCCTCCTCCTGTGCAATCTTTAGAGTTCACCATTTTATGATTGAATAGTTTCTCCTTTCTGTAATGTGGATGAATCACACAAGACTTGCAGCAAATGGAGCAGAGCTGTGTGTTTCCAGCACCTACAATCTGGCCTATTGTTACACCAAGCTGGACTTTTCTTCCCATACACAAGGCTGCTGGCCAGTGGCAGTGTGCCTTTGTTTATCACACACAAGTAAACTTTCCATTCTTTCAGGTAACACTGGGAATTGGGTGAGTTACCAGTTCCAGTTCCAGGATTTGGGGATTTTTTTTTTTCTCCTTGTTTGTGTTTCGGTGGTATTAGCTTAAAACCAATCGCATGGGAAAAAAAACCCTAAAACCTGCCATTGCAGCAGGGCTACCCTCACACCGGACGGGTTAGCTATGTGTTTAGGTCTAGGGTACCAGTGTCATGGACTTTTATTCAGCAGATCCTTGCTTCCACTGGCACCTGCAGACTCAACCATCTCTACACTCCAGTGGTCGGACACTCGCTGACATCATCGTGTCTATTGGAGGGCCCGTAGCCCAGGTGCCGAGGGGCATTCCAGAAGCTGGAGAGTAGGGGAGAGAGAGATGGGACCAGAGGAGCGGGGATCAGGTAAGTACATGCTTTTTACTAGATCTAAACAAGCATTTAGCCCTCACAGTTCAGGGGTAGCCCCACTGCAGGGTGAGTCCGCATCCCGAAATGGGCTTTAATTGGGAAGTTCACCTTAGATCAGGGGTGGGCAACTATCTGTTTTAACCACAAATCCCAACATGCCTCTGGGAGTCCTGCCTTTAACTGTCAGTCTTACAATGCCTCATGGGACTTGTAGTTCAACAACAGATGGAGGCCCAGAGATGCCCACCTTTGTCCTAGATGTATACATATTATATAGCATACCTTTGCAATGGAAATTAAAAAAACAGACTAGAGGTAGGTGCTGTCTACAAGTTCACCCTAGAAACCGCCATGTAGCTTGATAAATGCTATAACTCTTCATCTTTGTCTGGGGGGGTCACCTTATCACTCCTATCTATAACTCTTCATATCTGTATGGGGGGGTTGGGGTCACCTCATCACTCCTATCTAGAACTCTTAATATCTGTATGGGGGGGTCACCTCATCACTCTTATCTAAATGTGTTTGTCCAGCAACCAGCATTGGAAGCTGCCAGTCATTTGTCTGAGATAAAACTTTCCTCAAATGGAGTGCAGTCGATCAGCTTTTACTTTTTCATTCTCTAAGCCAGTGGTGGGCATCTCCGGCCCTCCAGCAGTGCTTTAACTGCATTCCCAATATGCTTCTGCTACAAGTAGTCATGCCTCATGGGACTTGTAGTTCCACAACATCTGGAGGGCCGGAGTTGCCTACCCCTGGTCTAAGCTGTGTGGGGAAAATATTAAAGGTAGATTCTTATTGGATGGTATGGGCAACCGCACCAGTTAAAATAGAATTTGTCTCGGACACTTTATTTTAATCCCTGCCCCCATGGTGCCACTTGGCCACCCCCATGCTACCTACATCTTGTGATTGCGAAGCCTCACTGGGATACTCATACTCTGTGCCCTGAATGCATAAGGGGGGGCAGGGTGACACTCTGGGGTTGATTTACTAAATGTAAATAGGCTTTTCTCTTTGCAAGAGAGCTTAGTAAATGACTCTATGAGCAGCCAGATCTAAGCGGATATGTGTTCATTTACATCCAATTACCCCCAACTCCGTAAAGATGATTTTCATTCATCCTCATAGTTGGAGCTGACATGTGAGAATGAAACTGTCACAGGTCGACTTTATTGATCGGGAAGTGAGCGAACACATACCGTTGCTAGCTCATTTCCCGATCATCTTCCTGCAGATAGTGGTGACTGTCAGTCATGGCTCCCCGCAAGGATCTCCCCCTTTCCGATCCTCTAGCGCTGAGTGGAGGAACGGATGGTGGGGAGGTGTAGGCACAGCTGGCTCTGCCTCTAGATAGGCAGAGTCCGCTGTCAATCAGCCAGCTGGGTGGATCTCAACAGTATTGTCGGGATCCGTCCCGGCTGCGGCGCTCTCAGTATTGACTCTTAAGAGAACTATGGGATAAAAAAGTTACTCATAGTTTTATTTTAAGTCCTTCTTGTGTTTTGTATAGAAGGTTACCTTGGATGGCTTTAGTTGTAGGACCCCATAGCAAGGGTTTGGCACCTGGTTTTGTCTGTTTGTTTACAGACCTGGAACATGCGTGCTGTACATGCCAGAATTCCTGTGCCCGGTCACGGCTTAGGAAACATTGAAGCCAATGTATCACCTTGGCAGCCAGGCAACTAACATTCTTAGGTAGAGATTGGCAATGGCAACCTACATAATTCTGTCATGACAGGTATAGTGAACTATCAAAATACTACTGTTAGCCCAGGGGTAGGCAACCTTGGCACTCAAGTTGTTGTGGAACTACAAGTCTCTTGAGGCATTGCAAGACTCTGACAGCCACCGGCATGGCTCCCAGACATAGGACATGTACTGATGAAATTATGGAAAGTGCCATTGAGAACTTCGACTTCTCAAAATGCTACCTGCACAGCTGTCGTGATCCACACGCTTTACTATTTTCTAAACCGCGTGCGAATTGTGGCCAGCTTAAGTCATTAATCAATGTGTCAACAAGCCAGAGAGCCAGGTAACATCATTCTTCAGAAGCATTGGTAGTCTACACAATGGTCTTTCTCCTTCAAAAATGGTTGAACCTAGATGCTGATAGAATTCCCCATTTGAGGGCATATAACATAATCTATAATGTCTATAAAGTTATTAGGTTACTTTTTTGTTTCTCGGTTTCAAAAGATTACTGTGGAGCAGCAGAGTTGAATGTTGGTAACTGATTTAATGTGGTTCCAGCATATCACTTCTCTTGCTTTTTCAATTGGCCTGTTGCATTTCTAGTAGTCACCAGTGGCCTCTCCCCCCAGTTCTCTTTTAGCCATTGCTAGTTTTAGGCCTCATTCACACGAGAAAAGGTCAGGACGTACAGCTCCATGCTGCGTGCACGGCCGTATCGGGCAGCTCCTGGGAAGCACAGGTGCTGCGTGTGATTAGTACGCAGCCCCTGTCCTTCTCTATGGGAGTACGCGGCCATATGCCACCCTACCCTCACCCCAAGCGCAGGTCTGTGCGGGTGTCCCGGCTCGGACGCAGACAGGATCCATCCTGTCAGCATATGAGTACGGACTCCCCGCACCCGGACGGTCGTGCAGGAGCGGGTGAGCGTAGGGCGGCTTATGGCCGCGTACTCCCATAGAGAAGGACAGTGGCTGCGTATTAATCACACGCAGCACCTGTCCTTCCCGGGAGCTGCCCGATACGGTCGTGCACGCAACATGGAGCTGTACGCGCCGGCCTTTTCTCGTGTGAGGCCTTAAACTTTAAACCAAGTGATGAAACACGGGTCTTCAAGTGACTGCTTAATTTGTTCTAGGACTGGCAGTGGCTACAGCGATGGAACACTCCTCCAGGTTAAGAGTTCTGCTGTGGCATTGTAGCCTTTCATTTTGTTTTCTGATTGTAACACTTTGCTCTTTTCTGTTGCAGACATGGAGACAAACAATCATTTTGCCAATACTGGCCAGCCTCCATTATCTAGCGCCTCAGGACTGAAACCGCTGCCTCAGTTGGTGGAACCAGTTTACACAAATAATTCCCTTGTAATATTTCCTCAACAAGTAAAAGGTGAGCAGTGACTATTTGTGTAAAATAAACTATCTTTCTATCTCTATCAATCATTTAAAAGAGTAATGGTTTGGGTTTAAGGCCCGTTCAAGCCAGGGTGGTTCGGTTGCGCGGATTTGTCCGACATGAACAATCCCATACATTCCTTTGGGGACTATTCATCTAAACAATTTTGGGCATTTTCAATTGCTTTTCAGTGCTGAAACATGATTAAAAATGCCCCAAAATCGCCCTGGTGTGAATGGGGCCTTAGGGATTTAAGTTGGGGGTGTTTGTCAGTCTGGCATGGTAATGTGTGTGTCATGTCCTATGCTTCAATGGTTCAGGTCCCCGTTTTACCTTTAGTTTGTGTCAGATTTTTCACCTGACTATGGTTTTGACTCTTAAATCAGCTAATAGTTGGAAAAAAACAACACACTGCATAATAAAAATGTGATTCACGTATACACCTACTGCAAAGACCCCAGTGTGTAAAAACCCACTAGGCACAATGGCAAGCAACATTCAATGCATCTAATTCAGCCAAAACTCGTTTGTTTGCTTTGAGTGCAATGGCAAAGGGTAGGACGTCTGTCAAGTATCTGTTTTCTTCTTTCTGGGGAGATTTTTCCCTTTGGTACCCTAGCACACAATTCTTTTGATGGTTGCATCACTTCTAATGACTTGACTTCTAATGGCTAATCGTGTTGTCATTCTTTTTCCTGTAAGTCTGCATCTGTCTTGCTTCGTTATGATTTATTTTCTGTATTATGTACTATGTGTAAATATTTTAATATGCTTCATTTTTTAGGTCTGAATAGTGATATGCCTGTGAATGGCCTGATTTCACCTTCCATACCCAGTAATCCTCATGGAACATTTGCATCGGGTGCCAGTAGTACAAGTCATCCTGCAGCTAGTAACTTTGACTACCTCTGGAAATTTCCCAAGTCTCCTGTTCTGAAAGACTGTCATGGACCTAGTCTGCCTAAGGTGAACGGATCAACATCACCTGTATCAAATGGTCCCTTCTGTAAAGGAAGCTCGCAGGAGAACTGGGACAGCTCTGCTTCCAGCTACCAGGCATCTCTTAGCTTCAATGGTCAAGACTTGTGCAATTTTAGTAGTATTAACGTAAAAGTGGCAGCTGCAGCAAATGGAACACATTGCTTTCCCACAGCATCCCAACCAGTCTCTTTGCCAATATTTGGTAAGCAATCTCCTTCTCATTCTCAGTGCCAAGATGAACAGCAAGAAATGGAAACAGAAACTTTGGGAAATGAAGAACTGGCAGATATGTTGGCACCCTCTGAGTCGCCCACTCAGTCAGGTGTGTATAGGTGTAAATCGGACCCCACATCTGGCAAGTAGAGCCAGCTCAAAGGCCAGAGTATAATGATTTTAGTAGGAGGGCAAACTCAGGTCAGAGCACCTAATGAAGGAGCTCGGAAGGATCCTAAAAGTGCCACAAATTGATCTCAAATGAAGACTGTTTGTACTGAATCATACAGGCATGCAGGAAAGAAGGATATGGATGTGAGGAGTTGTAAAAAATTGCCTAATTGGTAAAAAAAAAAAAATGTCCAGCGGGACCCTGGGCTATAGTGCGCCAATGTTCGGTGGCACCCTGGGCTATAGTGCGCCAATGTTCGGTGGCACCCTGGGCTATAGTGCGCCAATGTTCGGTGGCACCCTGGGCTATAGTGCGCCAATGTTCGGTGGCACCCTGGGCTATAGTGCGCCAATGTTCGGTGGCACCCTGGGCTATAGTGCGCCAATGTCCAGCGGGACCCTGGGTGATATAGTGCTCCAATGTCCAGCGGGACCCTGGGTGATATAGTGCTCCAGTGTCCGGCGGGACCCTGGGCTATAGTGCTCCAATGTCCAGCGGGACCCTGGGCTATAGTGCTCCAATGTCCAGCGGGACCCTGGGCTATAGTGCTCCAATGTCCAGCGGGACCCTGGGCTACCAGTGTGAGTGTGTTCAGAGAATGAAGACTCTTCTAACCATAATGCAAATCTTTTTCTGTTTTCCTGGGCCAGTTTTAAGTTGCATGACATGCTTTTTCAGGGAAGGTTTTACTTCCCCTACTATCACTCCATTTATGCCAACCTGTATGATTAAATGTCCACAGTTTAGGTTTATTTTAACCATATATTAAAGCAGGGCTGGACAAATGCCAGGAACCAGGTAGTCAATGTTCCTATCATTTACAGCTGGCGCCTAACTTTTGAGGTTTTCTCTAGTTGTTGTCAGAACAAGCTTGTTGTTTCCTGGATTGGACAAAATGACTCCTGAATTCCATATTCATTTGTCCACCCTTATATTAAAGCTTACATTGTTGTGATTCTGCTAAAGGAATGCTGATGTCAGTGTACCATATCAGAATAATAACAATTTAACACATGTTTTACATAGCCAGTAAGCAAAGATTACAAAAGTGTAGACAAAGTTGAGAGGCAAACTGCCTGAGCAATAGTTTGATCTTGCATGTATATTCAGTTCTATATAGTTCGGAGATTATTAGAAATAGTGGTGACAGCTGCTATGCCATATTTTTTATCCAGTTATCCGTTGTTCACTAAATGACATTGCTCTTTTAGCGGTAGGTCTTCTAAGCTTTTACATCCTTTTAAGGTTTTTCTTACATGTTAAACCAAACTGTATTTTAGATGTTACAAACATTTTGTTAGTCGGTTTATTCACAACTGATTTAACTGATCTAAACTTTCTAAGGTAGGTATATTAATGTGATCTCAATCTTAAAGCATATGTCAAGGCAAAAATATGTTGTACAACTCTGCGAAATATGCGTATTGTCCCCATGTTATATCCCTTTTAACCCTTTCACTGCCACTGAGGCATGTCATACGTAGCTGGCAGCGGGCTCATTTAAACAGGCTCTGTTTACATGTGTAAAGCCAACTGTCAGCTTTACACTTGTAAGCCCCCTTATGTGATGGCAATTAAGTAAAAAAACATAGTTTAAAAAAAATTTAATTAAATAAAATAAATGTAAAAATAATTATTTTTAAAGTGCCCCGCAATCGCGTGTGTATTAATGTAAACACACGTCGGGTGCATCTACGTATGAAAACGGCAATCACGCTACCCATGTTTGGTATTTTTCACAAAATGTTTGGGTTTGATAAAGACTAATATCTTGCGACGTAAAAATTTGTAACTGCCAACATTTTATTCTATAGGGTCACTGCGTTCAGAAATTATATAATGTTTGGGGGTTTTAAGTAATTTTTCAGGCACAAAATGTTGATTATGATGTGTGCAAAAAAGGCCTTGGCAGCGAAAGGGTTAGACACTGCAAGTACAAAAAAATAACTGATATGCCAGACATCTACTGTGCTCCTACATTCCTCTTTGACATGACAACAAAGTGTATCTTTGACTCTGAATTCCAAAGCGCATGTTGTCAGCTCTACCTGTTTAATTTCTGATGCATTACAAAGAATACCAAACTCTTCAAATCTGCATATCGCCTCCAACTGCAGACAGAGCACAGGAAGTTATCCACTCACAAGATTTCTGGCAAAATGACCTAGTATTTTTTATACGTATTAAACAGATATAAAATGCATCAGTATCAGTATTTAGTAGATCAAAAGGGAGCAAATAAGAGATGTTCATTGTTGGGGGTTTACATTCACTCCCGGTCCTGTAAATTCTTTGGTTGTCTAACATAAACTATATGTTGAGATCTCCAAAAGGTGGCTCAATAATGTTGAGGTCAAGAGATTGTAATGGCTACTCCTAAACCTGCACTCGAGGAATGGTTGACTTGGATTTAGATTTCAGATAATTGCCATGTTGGAAAAGTCTTTTAGACTAACAAATATACATTTTCCTCCAATATTTTCTGATGCCTCATTCATCTTGCCATCAATTTTGACTATTTTCCCATGCCAATGTAGCTTCGGGCAAGCAGGGCTAAATGTATAGCAGAAAAGCCGACGCTCGTTTTGTAGGGTGGCCGCCCAGATCACCTGTAGCAGCCTGCTTGTTACCCCACCTCCCTGCTATGGTTTTCTGGGTCCTCTGCTCTTCTGGGTGACCCTGGACCAAAGCAAATGACTTCAGGATGAAGAGTGGGAAACAGACTGGAGAACTTCCTGTCTCAGCTGTCACAAGCCGGGCTACACAGGAGATCGAACACACTGCTGTGCTAGATCGTCTGTAATGGAAGGCAGGCTCCATAAAGAGAACCTGTCACCTCCAGACACTATCACATAGGGGCTTGTTATCCCCCATGTGATGGCAATAAAGTTAATGAAAAAAGTATTAAAAATAAAAGTAAAAAATAATCTAACACGCACAATGTGCATTGAAGGATGAGTTCAATTTCCCAAGTAATTTGGAGAAAATTGAATTACCCACTTGGATCTGGCCGCCTCTGCTATACTTACTTAAACAGTGAACGGTCCTTCCACTGGTACGTGTGTAATATCCGTACCACATACTGGCGTCCAGCGCAGCCCCGCACTGTGGATTTTGAATTTCGCTTGCAAATTGCGAGCACTCGTTGGTTAGTGCAGTCACCTGACCTTGCTGACCAATGAGAATGTTTAATTTTTATTTTGTGTCCCAACAAGTAGATTGTCATGAGGGACAAGTAGATTTAGTCCTTGGACAAGTAGTGTTGTGTTTTTTGTTTCGTTTTTAAATTTCCACACCCTTGAAATTTTTTAATCATTTGCTGATCACATGTTTCTCCCAGCACAGGTTTCTTTCAGTTGATGTGCCTGTCCTTCTTCCCAATACTAAGCACTTGTTTTTATTTTTAAGATGAAGCATCCTCTGAGTACAGTGTGCCTGGCATGGCTGTGGAACCAGAACCTGATCGCTCGAGTGTGCCTCCACTTTCTCCTTCTGATGTCAGCAGTTTAAATGACCCCTCTCAACTTCCATCCAAGCTTGTTGATCCCCGGGACCTCAATCCAGATTCTCCGGAGACCTTTGAAAATGAACTCTGCGAAGGTACTTAAGTAAAATAAGCCCATATGAAAGAGGCTTGGCAGTTTATTGTGATCTTTATAGTCTGTTTTGGTTTCTTTCCCTTTTGGCTTCTTAGCTGTGTTTTTATCAAGCGAGACATATTTTGTCTCAGTCCAATTCACATAGTAGAGCAACGTTTCTCAACCAGGGTTTAATGGAACCTTGGAACAAAATGTATCCCATCGCACTCCTGACTGGGGAAAAAAGACCAAAAAGCAGGGTGGGTGCGGCAGTGACAGCAGATTATATGCAAATTGAGCTAGAAAGTCACTTGCACTCCAGAGCGATGCCAAGTCAATCTCTTTGTTGATTATGGCAGTGTAACATCTCACAGCAGCTATGAGATGTTACACTACCATAGTCAATAAAGAGATTGACCTAGCATCGCTCTGGGGTGCAAATTACTTTCTACCTGAATTTGCACATAATCATGGGACCCCTTCAAAGGTTCTGTGGGTAATGGGCATTTTCTTCCTCCTTAGATGAGTAACCACTGACACCAGTTATCATTTTCGTGATTTGTAAGCATTCTTCTTTCTGACCTCCAATATAAGGGGCATTCTTCCCTTTGACCAACAGTGAAATGGGACCCTTCTCCCACTGACTACCAGTTTTAGAGGCCATTATCTCATTTGACTACCAGTGTAAAGGGGGCACTTCACTGATCTCCAATGTGAGAGGGCACGTTCCACTGACTACCAGTATGAGGGAATACTAGAGTTGTCACTGCCTGTGTTTTCTTTCCTTGGTGTTAATATTAATAATACATTTTTTTTTTTCATTATTACAGAAAATAATTTTGTCATATCAGCCTTGAGTTCCAAAAACACGTGCTTATTCTATTATGTATTCTGATATATACAGCTTACTGTGTCAATATAATTTATTAGCAAGGCTTCTCTGAGAACTGAAAGTTATTTTAAGGGTTGCTCTGTGGTAAAGTGGTTGAGAGGCTGTGGTAGAGAGTGTGACCCTAAGATACTATTAGCCTTGGTTCTCAACTGGTGGGTCATGACCCAAAAGTGGGTTGGCGACCCCGTGTTCAGTGGGTCGCCGTGTGCCTTCCACTTTTCTAGGTGAGAGGCTACTCGGGCTCCCCCTAGCACAGCACTGTCAGTTATTGCGCCGAGCAGCCATTCAAAATATGCTGCCCAGTGACGAGTGTCAGCTTGAGGTGGGGTGGGCTGGGTGTATGGCCACCAGAGAGCTCCATCCATACGTGCATGTCCTACAGAGTTGCTTGGACCGCAATGATCTCACATTCTGGCTCCTGACCCCTCTACGGGGAGCACAAGGGAGCTGTACAAGTCGATGCACATATGAATGGAGCTCCATCACAGCACAGCAGCCCACACTGGTCCTCAGGCTGAGTATTCACTCCAGTTCTCGTAAGGTAGGGTGACTATGTGGATTTAAAAATAAATGAAAACATTTTGAGGGCCCATTCACACTAGTACAGTGTGTCAATCGTGCAGTCCCGTGCTTTGGATTGCCACTCTTTTGAATGGCACCCCAAATGCATCTCCCACCCACAGTTCTATTGAACACATCGGAACACGTGGTACCGCAAGACCATGCGTTCCATTGCAGTGCGACTTGGGTCGTGACTTAATGACCAAACACAAATGTGGGTCCTGAGGTTACACAGGTTGGGAACCACTGCTACATAGAATGCGTTGGTATTTAGGCAAACCCTAGCACATGTTGTTGTCAATAATCCTGGCATGATCAAAGCTTGAGGCGTTCACATTTGATTAAGACTTTAATTTTCTTTGTGGCAGCAGAACTACCCGTGGAACTGCCTTGTAGTCCGATGTGTGAGTTCATGGAACAAGAAGAGAAAACCAAACAAATTAAGCAGAGCCAAAAATCAGAAACATTGGAATTGGAATGTCCATCATATTCATATACTGCCAATAATCCACAAATGACTGATGAAGACCAGAGCCCTGACTCAATCAATGCAGCATCACCTCCATCTGAACTGGGAGAATGCTTAATGGAAGGTATTCATAAGCAGTTATTTGGTCTGCTCTTGGGTCCTTGCAGTGACCTTCTTAAGATTTTATTTTTGACCGTTTCATATCTGTTTTAACCACTTGCTGACCAGGTGTTTCACCCCCTTCCTGGCCAGGCCATTTTTCAGTATTCAGCGCTGGGGTACTTTGACTGACGTTTATTCCGTCAAGTGAAGCTTTACTGAAACAAATTTCATGCCATTTTTTTGGGGGACCGATAGAGCTCTCTTGGTGGTATTAAATTACCATTGAGTGAAAAGTGTATTGAGAGCGCTACTACTGTACTAAGCGTATAGGGAAACTCACGTTTAAGAAGTCATCTGTGGGAGGAAATCCAGTGAGGATCCTGGGTAATTGGTATTGGTACTTGAGGAGCCCAACTATTTAGCGGGCTTTCAGAAAGGCAGCCGGTGTTCTGGCAAACTCCAACTCCTCAAGATCTCCAACGACCTGGCTTACTTAGAACTAAGAGGATTGGCCGAGAAGGCTCTACTGCACATGGGCCACCCGCGTCTTCCTGTCACGGCTCTCTGCCGTGACAGGGGAGGGGCTGGATTCCCCCCTCCGATCCTCCAGGACGTGGGTTGATTGTGTTCGGGCCGGCCCGGCCCACCGGGCAAGTGCCCGGTTTGCCCTATGGCCAATCCGGCCCTGGTACCAATACACTCCTCTCCCCACAATTCTACCTATCAGGAAGGCACCATAGGTGGTAACCCCGCCCAGCTGTCACTTTTAAGCCCAAGCGTTTTCCCGCAATTCTATTCACCCCGGTTGATCATAGCTTGACAAAGAGGCCCCGCCTCGAAACGCGTAGCTACCGACCCAGCACACAATGCCCTTCAGTGGTCTTTGACCTTCCTGCCATTCCCGCCGGCGTCCGTTCCTGCCCGAACCACCGCTCTGCCTCCCGAGCCAACTGACATAGAGCCGACGGCAGCACCTTGGACACACAGTGCCCTCGGCTGCAACGACTCAGCCTGGCCAGCTGAGTCCTTGCAAGAGACAGCTGTTCTTCCTTCACAGCCCACGTCTTCGCAGGCAGTTAACCCACCAGACCACTGGACTCTTCAGGTCTGCACTTACCCAGGGTCCTCACTGGATTTCCTCCCACATATGACTTCTTAAACGTGAGTTTCCCTATACGCTTAGTACAGTAGTAGCGCTCTCAATACACTTTTCACTCATTTGTTCATCACAGGGCTCCTCTCTCTGTTTTTCATAGAGCTTGCACACTGTAATCCTTGTCCTTATACCACATCTCCCACAAGTTTGTACCCCCTGGTAGTGCGCTTATCCTTTTTGTTTTTGTCTTGTTTTAAATTACCACTGGGGTTTTTATTTTTTTACTATATAACAAAAAAGTTACATGTGCGGCATAATGGGCGCAATCGTCGTTTTTGTGCATAGGCGCACCCGACGCATGCTTGCGTGTGTATGTGGGGGGGCGGGGGACTTTAAAAATTCGGGGGGAGAGAGGCTGTTTACATGCTCACAGTTTTCCCTCTCGTGTGCGGGGCGCGGGGAGGGGGAGGGGCAGGCCCTTTGGGACTGCACAACAGAATCTGTCATATTCCACAATACATTAACAAGTGGGGATACCCACTTGTGTGTGTGCTTTGTTACGGTGTTGACTTGTCCAAAATTCTTCAACCTACCCAAACCATACACTCTAATGTAACACAATTGTATTCAAATTGTTATGCTAACCAAAGTCCATATTTTTACAGATCTGTTTGAGAAGGCGGGGAGTCCAAAAACTATAAAAGATGAAAAACCTGAGTTGGCGCCGGAAAGTGATTCATCCGTTGAAATGTGTACAGAAAATGCAACCCCAGAGCCCAGTGTAATAGCTGAACCTGCAGAAGAAGACCTGGAGCTTGGAGACGTTAAAGGTAACATCTAAAAAACTGAAAAAAGACACCACCAGCCCACGTAGCCGTCAGGCCCTCCAGTTTGGAGATTCTACTTCTCCAAAAATACATAAGGGGGAATTTATCAAAACTTTGTACAGAATCTGGAGCAGTTGCCCGTTGTAACCAATCATCTTCTCTTCACTTTTAGTTAAGGTTTGAAAATGAAAGAATCTGATTGGTTATTCTGGGTAACTGTTCCAGATTGTTTCTGCTCCAGTTTTGATAAATTCCCCCACATGAATCTCTGATGACCTCTTCATTACGACTGCATCTGCACGTCTGTAAATTATAATGGGGTGTCTGGTCTAATTTGTGCCCTAGTTAATTCTAATATTTTAGTACTAAACAATGTGAAATTAACAATTCTGGTACATTCATAAAGTCTAATGTTAGAATTGGTAATAAGGGAGCTGTCATTGCTGACTTGCAAGTTGCAAATGTCATTGTTAAAGTCCTCATCCACAAACGTTTGCGTTACGCACCTGAAATGGGTATCTGCATATCCGGTATTGGCATGTCTAATATGCACATGTTTGTTTTAGGACATAGACTTACTTAGCAGTAGACAGTGTGGGGTGGGGGGTGACGGCTCTGGAATCTGCAGAATCATAATCAAGTTGGCAATAGCAGCTTGTAGATTCCATTCCTGACAGATTTCCTTTGTGTGTCACAAGATAGGCAAAAAGACCAGTGTTTCCTCTTTTGTTTGTGCGTACAATAAACACTTTACAAACACAAAACGTTCCCAACACACCAGCCAACCTGCAAAAAAATAAATGACTATTAGCATTAAAAAACAGAGGTTTTAGTTGCACAACTTTTGAACAATATGCGGAAGCCACACTTACTCGTCAAGGCACCTCTGTGTAGTGTGGTCCTAACTCTAATCTATGAGAGCTCTATATTGGAGCATATGTAGCAAAAGATAAATTAAAAGCAGGTACGCCTGGAGGAAGCCCATTCTTTTATAAATCCACAGGGACACACCAGAAGCCCAGCACACGACAACGGCAGCTGAAGCCCCCATTGTGTCTCCACACCGAACCCAACATGCAAAGTGCAACCGCACAAAACTGCCATTTGCTTTGCTTGTTCAATATACACTTTAGACACTGACAATGTGATACTTTTATTGGCAAGTCAGTGAACCGATTTGGAATTTTCTTCTCATTTACTATTTTATATTGCCCTCTAGCAATGCACAAATGAGCTTTGTAATGGGGTAATTCCAAAACAGTATCTACATTTCTTTATTCTCCAGGAACACCTGGACGCAGGAGGATTGCCACACCAGAAGAAGTGCGCCATCCTTTGCTACATGGGTAAGTTATTTCACATTCATGCGGGGTCACCATGGAGTGCATAGCCTATCTACACTCTGATGAATTCTGAGCCTATTCTTTTGAACTGGAAGGATTTCTAAAGATTGGGAAATTGTGGATCTCCATAGTGCACATTAGGGCTGCAGCTTTCTAAATAATTTTTCAGTTTTATACATTGTTTGTAGCTGTTGGAAACATTCCAGCGGAGCTTGCCATTCGAAATAAATGTCAGATCCAGAGGTATAAAGTTCTAGACTTTTCCTGTAATATGGTAGCTTAGCGCAATCCCTTCCTGCCTCATGCTCCTCTCTTCTTGTCCATAATGTGATGGGTGACACCACTGACCAGTAGAAAAGGTCTGGTAGATGGGGATCAGTACGGACTTTATACAGAAAAAGTGGAGATTTGTATGCAGCTTCAGGTGCCTGGATCTGTTCATCTATAATTTTGAGGGTTTTTTCCTTTAAGTCAACCTCTGCTTTTGCATTCTTTTTCAACACATGCTCATTTTGAATTGACCGGGTTTGTGCCACCTGGTTACTTTTACATTTTAAAAGCACCATCTTAAGATGTCCTTACATTGTTTACACTATCTTTCCATTTACTCTTTTAAATTAGCAAACATCGGTAATTTTTTTGGATAATGTGATGAGGGTTTAAACTCTTAAGTATTTGTTGTCTATGTCCCTGCTTCACCATATCTATGTGTCCTGTGACCATTGCCAAAGGGTTAAAAGCGATGGAAAAAAAAAATAAAAATGGGTTGTAACATGAATAGAGGGAGAATATTCCAATGGGAACGGTTTCAGTGATGACTGTTTAAGAGGAGTTCCTTCATTTTAAAGAAATTGTCCCACTTCCTTGTGTCTAAAGGACAGGCATTAAGGGATTATCTTATCGACGGAACACAGATGACGGAAAAAACTTGACAAGTTTTAACCTTTCCTACTTCAAAACAATACATTTTGGCTTTAAATAAACTTTAAGTATTGTAAGGATTTGTATAGAAACCTGAATAGAATGTTTAGTCTCTTGCACCACATGGGTATTGATTTTTGCCAATCTGACAGGTCACATCTAGAGTTAGCTGAAAGTGTTAGTTCAGTTATACAATGTAGTTATAGTGTTACTTCAGTTGTGTAAAATAAAAATGAACTCAAGGAGTGTTTGACAGAAGTGACTTTGCAGGTTTCTACTGCTAAAGAAAAATGAAACTTATTTCAGTGCTTGTGTGGTGATCTTGCCCCCAGCATATATAGATGAAGAGATAAATGGAGGCTTGTTTTAAAGTGCCTTCGCTGCTTGTTTACAATATGTAAATATTAGGGATGCACCGATACCGGTATTTTGGTACTGAGTACCGATAATTTTTTTTCGGTACTCGCCAATACCAATTACCGAGTAACGGATGTACCATTCAGGAAGCCAGGTGGCGTGTAATGATTCGCCACCTGGCTTCCTGATTAGCCAGGAAGCTGGGCAGCGTGTAAAGACTTGCCACCCGGCTTCCCGTTTAACAAGAAAGGAAGATACAGGAAGTACTGGTGCTAGGCATCGGCGCATTTGGACGAGTACGGGTACTCGCCCAAATACTCGGTATTGGCACCGATATCGATACTAATATTGGTGCATCCCTAGTAAATACATTAGTGTGCATAATCTGGGCACATATTCAGTTTATTGGCTTTAGAGCAGTGGTTCTCAACCCGTGTAACCTCAGGACCCACATTTGTCCTGGGTCATGAAGTCGCGACCCAAGTCGCACTGCAATGGAACGCACGGCATTAGGTTACTGCGCACTCCGGTGCAGGCGTACGAACTGCGGGTGGGAGGTGCGTTTGAAGTACCATTCAACGTAACGCACCTCCCTCACCAGAATGCACAGTAGGTGCGATTGCATGGTACAGGGCGTTAATCACACATTACTATGCGATTTAATGCACTGTAATAGTGTGAGCAGGCCCTCAAAAAACACTGACACAATTTGACACATTTACAGACATTCTGATACACATACACACTCCAAAAATGTTTTAATTTAATTTTTTTAAGGTCCACCCAGTCTCCCCACCTTATGAAAACTGGAGTTGATCCTCAGCCTGAGGTCCAGTGTGGGCTGCTGTGCTGTGACGGAGCTCCATCCACATGTGCATTGCTTGTACAGCTCCCTTGCGCGCCCTGTAGAGGTACCTGGAGCCAGAATCTGATGTCACCATGGCACCTCTATAGGACATGTGAGGGAGCTGTAAGCAATGCTCGTATGGATGGAGTTCCCTCACGGCCATAGCTCCATCCCATCCCACCTCAAGCTATTTTGAATGGCTGCTTGGTGCGAGAACTGAGAGGAGCCTCTCGCCTAGAAAAGTGTAAGGCATGCGGCGACCCACTGAAAACAGGGTCGCGACCCACTTTTGGGTCACTACCCACCAGTTGAGAACCAAGGCTTTAGAGGAATGACTGACTGAAACCTGGAATATTTCTGGGAGAAGATGGTAGTGAATGGAGCGACAAGGGAGAGCTCTGACTTGTCATTGCTGGAGGAGGGCAAACAAAGGTGAGTCTGTCATTGTGTGCAAGGATGTTGAGTATACTCGCACGTTATGGCAAGAGCAGCAGAACTACACTTCCAGTTTAGGCTGTACTAATAAATAGTGCATGAACCTTCCTAACCAAACAGATGGGGCCATATACCTCATACGATATAATTGTTGGTACATTTTGTAGATCTAAGTAAAATCTAACCATGTGTTGTTTTGTTAGGGTAATTCTAACTGGTGTGTGGCTAGCTTTAGACCTGGTTGCCGGCCTATTTCTTTCTGCCCACCAGAGGGGAATGTTGCAACAGAAACTGTTAGCTTTATGTAATAGTGTCTCCATGCACCTGGACTAATCGACTTTTCAGATGCCAATGTGCAACTCCCCTTTTTTTTTCTGCTCAGTGTTCTCTCGGCACCTAAGAAATAAATAATATTTCACTTGCTTGTCTCTAACGGGGAGTTGGGACATCCTTTAACATCAGCAGCAATATAAACTAGTGAAAAGAAATGTAGTTATGACCATCCATACTATATTTAAGCTGTGTTGAATGTTTTTGTGTGGTTTGTGCTCTCCTAAAAATGGATGCATCTGCTGCTTTCTGTCTACAGATGGAGGCGTGAAGTTCGGATAAGGAAGGGTAGCCATCGCTGGCAGGGAGAGACCTGGTACTACGCTCCTTGTGGGAAAAGAATGAAACAGTTTCCTGAAGTCATTAAGGTGATCTTTTGTGTTACATGATCTTCACCGTTTGCTGTTTTAACATGGGAATGTATAATGACTGGGCTGTGGTTATGTGCCTTAAATAAAGGCAAGAAATATGTCTGATCTCTGAAGAATCCAGGCAGAATTTTATTTATTTCCTTCTCTTCTCTCTCTTTTTTTTTTTTACCATTCTGCATGCACATTTTTAGGAGAAATAGCATATCCCAAACTTGTCCTTATTTGCTCAGTGCTCAGTGAGCACCTCATGTTGGGTTTGTATATGTACAGACTTAACAATACAATGTAATAGAGATGTATTGGGGCTTGGTGCAAACCCAGTCGCTGGAGTTATCCCAATCCCATGCAAAACTGTCACTGACGCCCTCCTCGCAGCCCAATCGGTTGTGGTTTTGGCATCCCCACACCACAGCTATACGTCACTAAGGGGCAGAGAAAGCCCCTGCCACAACTAATGGGGCCAGGATGTGGGTGTGTCAGTTTGTTTTGCATGGACTTGGAAGAACTCTGGTGAACTAGGTTTGCACCAAGTCCTCCACACATTCTTACTGTGTAAAAAAAAAAGAGGCGGGTTCTGCTTGTCTGTTCAGAGCACAAATTCCCCAAAGATTCAGTAATGTTGGGCAATATATAGTCATGATCTGTTTATGCAGCTACATTATGTGTTGACACATTTACCTATTTTTTTTTTTTCTCTCTTCATTTCTCCAATCTGCTTTTGTAGTATCTCTCTAAGAATGCTGGCCCCCATGTCCGGAGAGAACACTTTAGTTTCAGTCCCCGGATGCCTGTTGGAGACTTCTATGAAGAGCGACACACTCCAGAAGTGAGTTTTGTTCTATCCTAAGACTGTTTTAATGAAGATGTTAATTTTGGAGTAACTGTGCACTTGAAGAATTTGTGTGCCTGAGCATACACTGAGTGGCCAGATTATTATGACCCCATCAGTGCTTCGTTGGGCCACGAGATGACTTCGTTGGGTCGCCTCGTGACTCCACGAGATGTTGAAAGGTGATGCGAGGAATCTGACACCGCACTGTTGCCCTTCTGTTGTCTTGCTACTCTCCGTTCTGCCCTAACATTGACTAGTCGCTGATGGCCACAATTCGCACGTCTGTCTGGCTTGTGTGTATGTATATATTATAATGTATTTCATCTGTGCATTTAGTTGTTTGCCTGGGCTTCAGCTTTAAACTAAACACTCCCGGGCTCATCTGTAATGCATTCGCACAGTGTATAGCTGTGCAAATGACCTTCATAGCAAATTACTACCACTGGAGCCGAGGAGCATAGAATTTCTTGTTTTCCTCGTCTCCATCTAGTGGCAGTAACCCTCTGCGAATGTCATTTGCGCAGTTATATGCTGTGCAGACGTGTTTTAAATCTGTCCCTAAATTCGAATGTAGAATGTGCAGTCACTGAAAATACATTTCATTTTTTCTTTAAAGAAATTGGAGCTTTGATGCTAAATATTATATAAATATTATATAAATATTATGGTGCATTTTAAGGTGGTATTTCCACCAATGTAAACCTTTTCTAGCTTGTCTAGCTTGCTCTTCTCTATTCACCATTAGTTCTGTTACTGTTTAATTTCTGAGTAGTGTGAAAACCTTTGTTACTAGACCATCTGAGACAGTTTTACTGTGCTCTTTGTAGTTTAGAGTAACTGAGGGCTGTTGTTATCTCTTCTGTTCCAGGGCCTACAGTGGGTATTACTGAAGTCTGAGGAAATCCCCTCCCGTATTTTGGCCATCACAGGGAAAAGGGGGCGTCCTCGTAATTTAGAAAAAGCTAAAGCCAAGGAGAATAAGGTCAAGAGAGGGAGAGGACGGCCTCCAAAAGTAAAGATGATAGATTTGCTTAACAAAGCTGATGCCAAACTTTTAAGGAAGCTGGAAAATCAAGGTATAAATACTTTTATATTTTTGTCTGTTTTATGTGTAATGCTCTATAGACTTGTGTTTATAATTTACTGTTCTAGTGCCAATTTTCTTAGAATTTATTTAAAGCAGAACTCTAAACAAAATCTTTATTTCACCCATGCGGTACTCCCGTACTCATTTTTGTCTAGATTCAAAAATCGTTATACTTGCCAGACAAATCCTCCCAGCTGGCTTGCTCTTTGGCCAGTCTTTTTCACCTTGCTCCCCTTCCGCAGCGACAGTCTAAGGTCCCTGAGTCATCACATTCTGTACACTGTGTATAGGAAGTGAGGACGCTGAGGGACATACAATCGCTGCAGAGGAGGAGGGGACCGGCAGGAGGGAGCACTGTCACAGCCGGCCGGCTCAGAGGATCGGGTGCATATAACTTTTTTGTTCGTTTAACCTAGGCAAAAACAAGCACTTAACCATTGCAGTGTGGTGGTAGCCCCACTACAAGGGTTAATAAAAAATGTACCCAGAAAAATATAAAAAACGTTGTTTTTTTTTTTTGCACACTGTTCATTAATGAATGAGATGTTTGCTTTCTGTAGATATTCTTAGTGATGTAGAAAAAGTTCAGCTAAGCAAACTAAGGAAGAAGATGAGAAGAAAGGTATGTCTTAGATCTTTTATTTAAAATTGTCTGACTGATAAAGGTCTGTCTGTCTGTCTCTATCTATCTGTGTGTTGCAGCCGTCATATTAGTTTTCTCTGTTTGAAAACCTAAGAATAGATCTGTTCATAGCCAAGGAGCATGGTATAAGTGCTCACTTCTTTTATTGCAGAACATATGGTAATGTAACTTGCAATCCAAATTCTTAGGGCCAGTTCACACCAGTGCGTTCCGGCATCAATGCCTGCGGTCCGGTGCCGTCAGAACAAAAGCTGCAACAACTAATCGATTAAATCGATGGAGAGATTTATATGCAATTAATCGAGCAAAGAATAGTTAGCTGCAGCCCTAGTGCATGCAGCATTTTTTGACCGCAACGCAGGCATTGATGTGCCACGCGTTTGGGTGCGGGCGATTGCCCTGCGGCCGGGGGGCGTGGCTGCGGTGCCATTGACTTAAATGCACCACCACAGCCCCTCCCGCACCTGAACACGGAGCCGGCCGGGATGCGATCCAGTGCGTTTCTGGCACCAAATCGTGCCGGAACGCACTGTTTGTGGTGTGAGGGGGACGGTTTACACAACAAAGTCCATGTTCCAGTGCGTTCGGCCTCTGGAATGCAAGCCGGCTGGCTTCCTAAGTTCATGGGCTCGAGGGGGCGTGTCGGGGCATTGAGGTCAATGGCTGCGTTCCGGTCCAGTGCGATCTGCCAAAATAGTTCTTGCAGAATTTTTGCAGATCGCACTGTACCGGAACGCAGGCACTAATTTGCCTGCATTCTGCAATTGACTTCAATGCATCGCCCCTGAACGTAGGGAGCCGGCCGACTTGCGTTCCAGTGGCCGAACACACTGGAACGCTGACTTTGTGGTGTGAACCGGCCCTTAAAGATACATTTGTTAAACCCCAGTGTTATATCTAGTGTATAGCCTTGATCCAGCATTCTTCAGTTTGCAGCCCAATTCAGAGCTGCACCGCAGGCTTTTCTCAAAAAATTGCCTGTTTGTACTGCGTGCATGCTGTAAGCCCACCTATTCCAATGAGAGAGCCATTCTCAAGGCAGCCTTAAGCAGTCTTTGGAGTGCAGCTTTCCCATAGGAATCCTAGGGGCTGTGGGGCATATGCACAGTAATGAGCCATTTTCAGGAAAAAGGGTGTGCAGGTCTGATCAGGGCTCAACGCTGGCATTTCATCCAGCAGTACTCGGGAATGTGGGGTGAAATTATGATGGGAAAACTGTACCTCCTCATAGTGTTATCTGTAATCTGTCATGAGAGAAATACACGCCTGCCATTATTGACCTCTAACTGAAAATGCAAGCTGACTGACTGATGCTGATCCACTAGCTTCAATAATGTGAGTCCTTGATGGAGATCAGGAAAGGTTAACAAAAGTCAGAACTTGCCTAGAACAAGTATGCAGATAAATGATTGAAGCATGTGAATCAGTATTACAGCCAGGCATTTGAGAGGGTAGCTGTGGCATCCTCAAGACTGTTTGTTTTTTGTTTGAGCTAGCCCCCAAAAAATGTATTTCTGTTAGATGGAATAAGGCAAAATTCAATCCACTATGGTCCTATGTTCATAACTGTACTTGGAACTTTTTTGGCAGGCTTATCAAGGCTTTTTAACTAAATTTTAGGCCAAGGATAGCGATGGATGGACTGATGTCTTGTAACCCCCAAATTGTGCACAGTTGAGGAGTATGCTAACCATCAGCCAGACATGTTCAGGTAGACCTGGTTGCCAGGTGATATTATCCATTGGCCATAGTGACCAGGAATTATACAACCTCGTTATAATGGCCACTTTCCCTACAGACTTCCTTTTTAAAGATGGTATGTAAAGCGAAAACCTTTTGTGTTTAGGTTAGGCAAGGCTGTTCTGGTGACATATGTTTAAGGGTGAATATCCTCTTGCTTTGAAGATATCTTCTCTTCTTTATTGCTTTGTCTCTGGGACAGGAAGCAAAAAGCAAATCTCTTCTTCAAAGGATGGAAAACGGCAAGAAAAAAAAAAAAGTCCTTACACTGGTGTTTAACATTCCGCTCTCTATCTAAAACAATGAAAATGTGTTTTGACTTTTTTTATATGCACATTAAGCATGATGATTACATTTTTACAGGTGTGTGTGACTAGTTTTGTTTTTTAATGCTATATTCATCTGTTTTTAAGGCCAGAAGTCAGGAAGCTAAACAAGAGGCAGCAAAGAAACTAAGAGTGAGTAACTGGAAACAGTCTAAGATTTTATTTTTTCGCTTTAAAGAAAACGTGGCACATTTTTTGAAAACTATCACTTCACTGCTCACTGTCCTCTTACAGTATTCACACACACTTCAGGTATGTAAATATCTGGTGCCGTCCCCAACCCCCCCCCACAACTTGCTGTGATTTCTCACGCTGGCACGCATGTCGCCACAGGGCGTACAAGTCAGTGGGGGGAATCACATTGAACAATGAGGGGAGCAGGTATTAAACCCACCCCAACTGGTCAAATAGAGGACGATGAACAGTGAAGCTGCGGCTTTTCAAGGAACTGGCTGCCGGAAAGTTAAGCGTATGCAGTCGTCTTTTAGTAGGCGTGAGACACTCTGCTGGCAGGGTCACTTTAGGCTAACATAGCTACTAAAAATCGTGGCTATAAATGGTTTGATTTAACTACAAATCCCCTTATGTGCTCTCCTGGGAGTCACCAATTTTAGGAGGCACATTACGAATGAGGCCTTGTCTTTACTGCTTTTACATCCCTCATGTTCTGCCATCTAGTTGTACAGTAATTGTGATTGTGCACTTCCCATCAACTGGTCGATTGTTGTACCAAACTGCGATGGCTGACGATTATCGAACGATAATTGTAAGATTCTTTCTTTTCTTCTCCTATACTACAGATGTCCTCTTAATAAGACTTCTTCTGTTTGGTGTCTGGGCACGGCAACGTAAATGCTGAGCTTGCTGCAGTACAACAAGCTAAAGCTACGCTAGGCTTAATTTAGTACTACAAGTAGTATTTGTACGTTCCTAACATACTGGGTATTAGGAGGCTGTATATGTGCCCTTTTGTTGCATACGGTTTGTTTTATATAATCCCTTTGGTAAACACAATCTGTATATTTGGTTTCATTTTGTTAGTTAAGGGAAAAGAAGGAGAAGGAAAAGGAAGAGAGAGAAAAAGAACGGAAGATAAAGGAGGCTGAGCAGATAGCAGTTCAGAAGGCAAAGGAGGCAGAGCAGATTGCTGAGAAGAAGAGAGCACGGAGAAGACCAAGGAAAAAAGCAGCTCCCGTGGTTCATAAGCCTGACAGGAAGCTGCTTGCACAACAACGACGCCTAGAAGAACGCAAGCGCCAGCAGTTTATGTTAGAGGAGTTGAAGAAACCAATTGAAGATATGTGCTTACCTGATCATCAGGTATTTACATATTTGACACCTAACTCTACAGCATAATCTACATAGATTGGTGGTGTGTACAAGTGTACCTAATAATACCTTGTCATTTTTTTTTCCCCTTTAAGCCATTGCCAGATTTTCCTTGTGTCCCGGGACTGGTTTTGCCCAGCTGTGCCTTCTCAGATTGCCTAATGATAGTAGAATTTCTATTTGCATATGGAAAAGTATTTGGATTAAATGACGCAAAGGATATACCGAGCTTGTATACCCTGCAGGAGGGGCTCTTTAATGTGGGCGACAGCCAACGAGAGGTGCAGGATCTTCTATTGAAGTTATTGCGGGCAGCATTGTTCGATCCTGGGCTTCCATCATACTGTCAGGTATATGTACATAGCAGCTGATGCATTTTGTTTGAGTTACGTATGCGAATAAGGGATGATCACTGACTGCCTCCCCTTTTTTTTTTTTCCACCTACAGTCCTTGAAAATTTTAGGTGAAAAAGTCTATGAAATTAGTCTGACAAGGCAAAATGTTTCTGAAGTTCTGCGTATCTTCCTTGAGGCATATGGTGGTGACATTGACCTGTGTGAAAGTCTCCGCACACATCCATTTCAGGCCCATCCTCCGCACATCAAAGCTGCAGTGCTTGCTTTTATTATTAATGAGCTCAATGGGAGCACCCGCATCATCAGGTAAACTACGTTGACTTCAGTACTCCTACCTATTAACCACTTTCAGCTCCTGAGTTTCTGATGCTTCTACAGCTTGCTTCATAAGAGCATGCTGTAGACGCCAATTTAAACAGAATATTTCTACATTCTGTTTACGGTGCAAGTGTGCTGCCGCCACCACCACACTTCTGAGTGCAAAGGCCAAGTTCAAGCTCTATATACTGTAGCACCTTCCTGAGCAATGGAACAAGAGGTCTATTGCTGGCTGATTGCAACCGGCAATAAATTCAGTGTTAAAAAAAACTTTCGGACAGCATTTGTCTGTCCTGATACAAAATGATGTACAATACTCTTAGGTAGACCACAAAACCTAAAATATTTAATGTACGGAACGGAGACATTTTTAATGGAAAAAATGTTCTAGGACTCGGGGATTTAGAGAGAAGATGGCCCAGGGACTTAAGTGGCAAAGTGAACGTAATTCTATGTTAACAGTTTTGTAGGGGTGCTTAAGACAAAAAGAAGCCTGAAATACCTTTGCTGGAGGAGGGGGAAGGGTGGGTTAGTTTGGTGCTTTTTAAATAAAACATTCGACAAAGGCTGTTTGAAACTTTCCTTAGCCTTTAAAATCAATCATTCTGTGTTTTCCCGATATTGAATGATGGTTCTTTTTTTAACAATAAGGCTAGGTTCACACCTGGGCGTACAGGTTCACACCTGGGCGATTTGCGGTAAAAACGTGTGACAAACGCGTTTCCGAGGGCTATCCGGCTGTATCCTAATGGATACGCGCGGCAAATATGCCCCAAAGAAGCTCCTGTACTTTGGGCGTTTTTCAGCGCTTTCCTACGCGCTGTAAAACGCCCAGGTGGGAACCATGCCCATAGGCAATTATTGGTTTTCACATGTTGAGCGTTTTACAGCACATAGGAACGCACTGTAAAACGCCCAGCTGTGAACCAGGCCTAAGTGTCCACGTCATTAAACTCTGATTTGCTTTAAAACTTACTTGCTTGGATCTCAGGCTAATAAAGTAGCTCCGATAAACTGGACGTTTCTTGAAACACCTGCAGAGCACATACTGCTTACCATTTTGGGAAGCCCCCTCCTTGGGTTTCACTTGGCCAACTGTGCAGATCAAGCTAACCTAAAGTTTCCTTCACTTACATAACGTATTTTGCACATAACATGTTCAATTAAGGAAAACTATTAATAATGCACTGTCAACACACGTCCATGTAAACAAAACAAAAAAGAAAAAAAACAGTCCTGCATCATTTTGAATGCAGCACAACAAGCAGCACATGCGTTGTAGTGCAGCTTTGTTGGCACCCTCTGTTTTTGTGCATTGGGGTGCCATTCTCAATAAATGCCACTGCCAGAGTGCTTGCTGTATGTGTTAGCGCAGATTGAGGTAATGTGCGGTAAAATGCACAGTACTGCAATGCATGGGTCTAAAGGCTAACTATAATTTCACATAACTTTAATTCTATTGACTGAGTAATCTGACCAGGTACACTTTACAAGGTACATTTTATGCCATCAGTGTAGTACTGCAGCTGGCCTTTTTTATGTTGGTGAAATACATATTTAATTGTGTGGGGTTTGTTTTTGTTTTTTTATTTACAGTGAAATTGATAAAACTCTGGACAGCATGTCAAACTACCGAAAAAATAAGTGGATCATAGAGGGTAAACTGCGCAGGTAACCTTGCATCATCATTTGTAAACTTTTATTCATTTGATTTTATTTCCAGTTTTCAACTGGTTAATTAAAGTGACACTACACTCAGGAGTTAAATCTTAAAAATGCATTCAAGTACCTTAACTATTGACAATACTGTATCTTATTTGTGTATCACTCGACTGTAGATCCTCAATACAAGTTGGTAAACTAAACATGAGATTGTAGTCCATCACGGGAGGGAGCTTGGAGTGGTGGCTACTTTACAATACACACAGGAACCATGGGGAACAAAAGTAGCCACCCTCCAGAAGGAAGGACATTGTCAGCATGAATTCAGACATGATTTGAGGATCTATAGCTGAGTGATACACAAATAAGATACAGTATTGTTAATAGTTAAGGTACTTGAATGTATTTTTTAGATATAAAACTCCTATTTTTGTTGCCTCTTTAAGGTCCACCCAAAACTTTATTTATTGTCGTGTTCTTATTGAGGAGTTTCTTTTACGTACTGTTTGGTGAGGAGGTCACCCGCATGGTCTTGTCTGCATAGACTGTACAGTCCAGTGGTATGAAATATATATAACACACACAGTACTGTGTAAAAGTTTTAGGCAGGTGAGAAAAAAATCCTGTAAAGTAAGAATGCTTTCAGAAACAAAAGTGTTAATAGTTTATTTTTGTCAATGAACAAAATGGGAAGTAAATGAACAGAAGATAAATCCAAATCTAATCAATATTTGGTGTGACCACCCTTTGCCTTCAAAACAGCATCAATTCTTCTAGGTACACTTGCACACACATGTTTAGGACAACCTACCTGACCAGTTCCTTCAAAAACTTAGAGAACTAACCACAGATCTTCTGAGAATTTAGGCTGCCTCCAAATCCTTCTGTCTCTTCATTTAATCCCAGGCAGACTCCTTGATGTGGAGGGCAGGGGTCTGTGGGGGCCAAACCATCACTTCCAGAATTCCTTGTTCTTGCTTTACGCTGAAGATGGTTCGTAATGACATTGGCTGTATGTTTGGGGTCGTTGTCCTGGGGCAGAATAAATATGGGGCCCAATCACACGCCTCCCTGATGGTATGGCATGATAGGATAAGTATCTGCTTATATTTCTCAGCATTGAGGACACCAATGATCCTGACCAAATCTCCAACTCCATTTGCAGAAATGCAGCCCCAGACTTGCAAGGAACCTCCACCATGCTTTGCTGTTGCCTGCAGACACTCATTATTGCACCGCTCTCCAGCCGTCGGCAAACAAACTGCCTCCTGCTACAGCCAAATATTTCAAATCTTGACTCAGTCCATAGCACCTGCTTTAATTTTTCTGTATATATGTACATCTGTGTGTGATAGATATACACTGAGTTGCCAGATTATTATGACCACCTGACGTTTGTAGGCAAATTAGCTATAATTAGCTATAATTTGGCACTGAAGTTGCTAGAGGGCCAGACCATTATAAATAGGGAAGCAGGTTGTTTACCACGACAGTCGAAGTGATTTTTTTTCTGAAGATATGGGTAAACAACGCGATTTAACAGCCTTTGAACGTGGGATGATTGTTGGCGCTCGGAGCCATGGAGCGAGTATCAGCAAAACAGCAGAATTCGTTAAATGTTCAAGAGCAGCTGTTGTTAAAGTGTTTAAAGACTGGACTGTCAGCCGAAAATCTGGGTCTGAACGTGCGAATTGTGGCCGTCAGCGACTAGTCAATGTTAGGGCAGAACGGAGAGTGGCAAGACTGGTACAAGACAAAAGAAGGGCAACAGAGCAGTGTCAGATTCCTCTCATCACCTTTCAACATCTCGTGGAGTCACGAGGCGGCCCAACTAAGTACTGATGGGGTGGTCATAATAATCTGGCCACTCGGTGTATATATTATCACACACACATAAATATATAGATACACATAGATATATCTATATCTATGTGTATGTATGTTCTGATCTTTCCCCTATTGTAACCAAAATGTAATTGTGGCTAGAAACCACAATGTGTTAATCCATCTCTACCTATGACAAGCAAAATTCCAAAAACTTGTGTTAGTAAGGTTATTTAAAACGGAACTTGTATATAAGGGAGCCATTTTGCCGGCCAAAAGATTAGTATTTCTGTCCAGCCCTGAAGCATGCACGACCACATCACGCAGAGCACAAACACACAGGGTGTGCCATCCCTTACAGTTAAAAAAATGCAGTGGTATCCTCACTTCACCCCAGGCTTTCTGACTGGGCAATGAAGGAGAAGCAGTGCACGTGTATTTGCCTCTGCACTCCCTGCTCCATGTGGGTTACAGCCAGCTCCACGCAATGTATAGCACGACCTTTCTTTCTAGTCACAGTCTGACATTATTCCCCTTGCGAGGGTTGGGTCCTGCAGGGAACCTTTTCTGCTATGTATCCTGCTTGCGTGCTATATGGGCAGCCTATGGGACCTCTGTCTTGGGTGGCCATTAACCCCTTATGCTCGGTAGTGAGTCAGTGAGGACAACCTTTTGTTAATGTCTCACATGCTATTGGTACAAGCAGCTCTGAGGTGTCTGTGTGTACCCCCTGTTGGCAGTGTCTCGTTTGTGTTCTGTTTTGTAGAGCTGCCTGTGGTGTTCTTGTCAAGCGTGGCTCACTTCTGCAAAGTGAGTTTCTGAGTGGGCAGCCTCCACCTTCACCTCTTCTTGTTCTTCTTCTTCTTCTTCTTGTTCTTCTTGTTCTTCTTCTTCTTGTTCTTCTTCTTGTTCTTCTTCTTTTTCTTCTTCTTGTTCTTCTTCTTGTTCTTGTTTTTCAATTCTTCTTCTTCTTCTTGGTTTTCAATTCTTCTTCTGCTTCTTGTTTTTCAATTCTTCTTGTTTTTCAATTCTTTTTCAATTCTTCTTCTTCTTCTTCTTCTTCTTCTTCTTCTTCTTGTTTTTCAATTCTTCTTCTTCTTGTTTTTCAATTCTTCTTCTTCTTGTTTTTCAATCCTCCTCCTCCTCCTCCTCCTCCTCCTCATCCATCCATCCATCCATCCATCCCCCTCTATTGTCTGGATGTGGTACGTGCTATTCGGATTTCTTACAGCTACTGCTCCTTCTAGTGCAGTGGTTCTCAACCTGTGTAACCTCAGGACCCACATTTGTTCTTCATCATTATGCCGTGACGATTGGATCGTGGGTGGGAGGCGCATTTGTGATGCCATTCAAATGAATGGCAATGTAACGCACCTCCCACACCAGACCGTGTGCTGGGTGCGATTGCATGGTACAGTGCTTAATCACATGGACTGTGCGATTATTGCACTGTACCAGTGTGAAAAGGCCCTCAAAAATACTGAACGACTCACACAACCACAGAGACATTCTCAGACGCACACACAAAAAAAAGACATTTTTGTAAGATCCACCCAGTCTCCCTACCTTACGAGAACTGGTGTGGATCCTCAGCCTGGGGTCCAGTGTGGGCTGCTGTGCTGTGACGGAGCTCCATCCATATGTGCATTGTTTGCACAGCTCCCTTGTGTGCCCTGTAGAGGTGCCGGAAGCCAGAATGGGACGTCGCTCTGGTCAAAGCACCACTACAGGACACACGAGGGAGCTGTACGTATGGATGGAGCACCCTCGTAACCATAGCTGCAGCCCACTCCGCCTCAAGCTTACACTCTGTTCTGGGCAGCATATTTTGGTGTGAGAGCTGCCAGTGGTGTGAAAGGTGGTGGCTGAGGAGCCTCTCGCCTACAAAAGTGGAAGGCACGCTGTGACCCACTAAACATGGGGCTGCGACCCACTTTTGAGTCATGACCCACCATTTGAGAACCAAGGTTCTAGGGAGTCCACCTCTCTGTTGTCCCTGATAGTTCACAAAGGGAATATTCTCACACCAACTTCATTAGGTGCATTCCTGAGCTCATATTCCACGCTTATGACCTTTTAAGGCAAGGTTCCTCCTTTTCTTCTGGTCTTATGTTCACACATTTTTAGTTTTACCAGTTGGATATTTAGGCCTCCTGATGCCATTTTCAGTCATCGGTCACTTACTTTAACCTTGGGCCTGTTAGACATTTTTTTGCTGTGTTGCCCACCAAAAGTTGTATTGCTTTTGGATGTTCCAGTAGTCTAAGACTGTGTCCTGTACTGCACACTTGACTTGCCTGTAGAATTATTTTCTTGTAGTGCAGTACAGGACACAGGTCCTTCCCCTCCCTCCCCTTTTTTTTTTCTTTTCCTTTTCTTTTCCTTTTCTTTTCCTTTTCCTTTCCTTTTTCCTTATGATCTGCTCCTGTTATTGCTTGTTGACAAAACTATGGGTGTGGCTTTACTGGACTATCTAGTTAGTCTCCTGAAGGTGGCAGCATAACCCAGTAGTCTGACTAAGCCTGTGTACTGTATTGTACTGTACTCCAAGAAAACTAATTTAAAGGTAAGTCGAAATCTTATTAAAAACCTTTGTTATTTATGCATTTATCTTTCTGGCCCTCAGGTTAAAGTTTGCATTGGGGAAAAAGACTGGCTCACAGGAAAGCCAAGTTAGTAGCCCAGAGGAGAGTCGAAGGAGGCGTTGTGCTCGCACTGCTGAGGAGACTGAAGATTTAACAGAAGACAAGTCTGGGTTATTGAATACCTCTGCAGATGAAGGGGTAAGTCAGGAAGGTCAATATCGTTAGCCCTTAGTCTCCAGGTTTAGTGGATAATTTAACCCAGTAATTTCAAAAAGAGTATGCACATCTGGAAAGTCATATAAAAGTCAGTTGGTGATTGGAACAAGATCAGAATGACAACCAGTCATTTTCTATAGAACTCTGCAATTGCCACCTTCATGTTTTCTTTCACTACAGATCTATTTTCCGCATCATAATTTTGGTGTCTATTCACAGTAACCTAACCCTTTGCACTTTGAAAAAGTCACACTACTAGTAACATAGGGAGGTTTCAATCAGTTAAGCACGATTCAATCAGTTAATCCGTATCTGATCATGTCTTTAAATTGCAGGAGGAGTTTTCCGCAAATGCAAGCAGTCTGGATCTTGAAAGGCAAATAGAGAAACTTACTAAGGTAATGTTCATGCAGATTAGAAAGTGAAGGTAATTATCTGCTAGTTATTCTTTTTTAATTTTTTGAAAATCTTTATAATTTGTTTACAGCGCCAGTTGTTTTTGCGAAAGAAAATAATTGGTTGCGCTCAAAGGCTTCGATGCACAACGCTGGGGCAGGATCGATACCGCAGGTTCTATTGGATGCTGCCACACATAGGGGGCATCTTTGTAGAAGGTTACTCCGAAAGCCCTGGTATGTTCTGACGTATTGTGCATTGTTATTGTAGTAACTTAATTTAATTCCATTCTTCTTAATTTTAAATGAACGTACTATTAAAGTTCACATGCATCAAAATGGCACATTTCACCTTTGCCAAATCACATTATTTTTGAGGTTAAAAAAGTACCTGTTTCCTGCTATAAAAATAAAAAAAACTTTCCAGCTTAGATGGTGTAGATCACATGCTACCAGCTTTTAGAGACTTTAAAGATTTCTTTCTTTTTTTTTTTTTTCACTTTACATGCATTTTTTTTGAGTCGATTTTCTTAAGCTTCCATGCATTTGCATGGTCAAGTGTAATGTTTCGACCTGACTGATGGAACAATGATCATTTTTAGGTCAAACACTGGATCCTCCACAGACTGAGTTACCAGAATTTGCTTTTTTGAAGACTGAGGTGGTAGAAGGAACAGACGATAAAAGCTACTTTACTGTTACTCGCTCCCGTGGTCGTCCAAGGAACCCAAGAGCTGATTCAGAACATTGTAAATTCTGTCAGTGCACTGGATCTCAGGAAGTCCCCATAAATGGCCTTTTACCAGCAAGCACCCTTATTTCTGAACGACCGCAGGACACAGGCCAGGCAACTGTACTTTCATGGCTTAGCCAGTGTCAAAATGCTATCATGAACAGTACTGTGCTGACACCTGAGAACAGTCCTCCTCGTAGTGATACAGCATCTGCTTTTGAAATTGGACCATGCCCTGGAGCCACAGACACAGATGAGAAAGAGAACAAGTTGTATAATTTGCTTCCTAGGACTCATTGCACTGATTCTGCTCAGAAGAAGAATTGTCAAACAAACCGCCTCCTTCCCCCACCCTCCCCTGCCGCAGCTACGCCACCAGTACAGGTGAGTTGTCTCGGTGTGTTTGTGTGTGTTGTATGCTCACTTGTACAGCAGGTGTAGCACTTAACCTGGAACAGGCCATAAAAACCTGTGCTCTTTTGTCCACTGAGTAAGTGTACAATTCTGTGCTATGAGCAGTACATGCGAAGACTTTTAGTTAATTGGCAACTGGTAGACTGTTGTTGTAGGGATTATTAGCATAGTTGCGCAACCTTTTTGCATTTTTCTCCCATTTGCTTTTAGTAGTCTTCAGCTATTGTTTTCTTCAGCATCCACATCATTAACCTAGCACAAGGTCTGCTTAGCCAACATACCCCAAAGCCTAGGGTGGCGGGGCTTTCAGGGTGGCACACTGCCACCTACACATTATGCTGCTAACTGTCTGTAACAGATTTCTATATATTAGGGATGAAATGCAATTTCGGCCGATAATGGTACTATGGGCAAAATGCTGATAGTACCAAAACGGCCAAAATGCAGCTGAAAATTCAGTGCATCCCTAGCTTCTCTCCTACCCATTGGACGTCGGTCCGTGTCCCCTCTGATCCCAGCAGCTCTGCCCCACCTGTGTTTGCAGAGGCAGCAGAGATCGGAGGGGACACAGACCAGTACCCAGCGGGGAGGAGAGAAGCTGTTGGCTGTCACAGGAGGCCGAGCTCTCCTTGCGCCCTGCTCGGACTCCTGTGACAGGCAGAGGAGTCAGGATGCAGAGTAGAGTACAAGCACTTAGCGATCAGAACTGATCACTGAGTGTTTATAAATAACTGAGGACATAGTATGCTTACTGTTTCCCCAGTTATTAATGAACATGAAGTGCTTTACATCACTTCCTGTTAATTCACGATTGTGGACATAGTAATTGATACAAACTCCACAATTTATGAATGGACAGGAGCACTCAGGAAAGAGGCTTCCTGTTCATTCATAACAGGGGCTGCAGAAAAAAAGGTCTAGGACTTTGTGTCCTCAATCTTTTTATATTTTAAAAGGGAAATATCAGTGGTCTGTTTAGAAGCCTCCAGCGGTAAAGTAAAAAAGTAATAAAAACAAATTTCATTTTGGTGCATCCCTAGTAATATATAGTATACCGTATAGCATTATGTTATTTGCACCATGTTTGTTAACTGGCCTTGCACACTTCTATATTCTGTTGTTGGTAATATAGCATACTGTGAATGTACAGTTTGCTCTGGGTGTACTGAGACTTGAGTGGACAAAGTCTTTTTCAGCCTCTCCGCTCCACCCACGTGGCATTTTGTATGGTTTCCACATCTGATCTTGTTAGTGTGATACTAAAGCTAGCTAGTCAACTTTGGCAGGAGGGGGCTGCACAAGGGGCTGTGCCGAGGGGGGCAAGTAAGTATAAATGAATATACTTTAGACTTTCTCTGTCAGTTAAAGAGTGGTTCATAGGCCAGCCACTAGATGCCATTGTTAAATTGTGAACGCTGATAAACAGAAAAGGTTTGAAGCCAGCTCTTGCATAACCCCCAGTTTTTTCTGTTTGTTTTTTTGCTAGCCTTCTATAATTGTGGTATTTTGGTGACTTTAGTCAAGATTCTTCTTATACCACTTTATTTTATTTCTGTGACTTTAATCAAGATTTTCACATTGCTGCTTGAGCTGTTCTCTATATAGCAGCTGTTCAGCTCAGCATATCTTTAACAACTGCTTTGGAGGTTACACCTAGACACCGCTGGAATAGACAATTGTGGGGCTGTGGAATGTGACCTTCAGGCACGGGGCTGTGCATTACCGGTTTGCGCACAGTTACTGGAGCAGTTTGCTCGCAAGTGGTAGAGTCTATCCTTTTTATTTATTTTTTCCCCCCCAAGTTTCACATATAAAAAATACAAAGGTAAATAGAATTATAGAACACAAAGCATAAGGTCATGTTTGACTGGCTAAATTTAACATTTCATGAAAACCCACAAATGATCCTGACACAATTATGTCTACTTGAACTCCCAATCCCACATCACTTGGTATAAATGCAAGCAAAAGAGTACATGAGTGTAAAAGGGTCCATTCCATATCCCAAAAGTTTATGTTGGGTCTCATGAACAATTGCTACACCAAATGAAAAGACAAAGTAAAGAGAAGCATGAAGCAGAAAAAGACAAAAAAAGTAAGAGTAAGGGGAAAAGTAAAAAGAAGAAAAACAGGGGAGGGGGGTTAGGGGTTAGGCTTTTCCATATTCGTACTTTCGTTCACTTTGGAAAGGCATACGCTTATGTAATGAGAGGTCTGCTGAAAGTAGAGAGGAATGCAGGCTTTAGCTGCATTAAGCAAGTATAGCAGGAGAGGGATTTTTGTTTTTTTTCTAATGTTTAGTGGAGAGATGGAGTACAGCCGCCAGGTTATTCCCCAGATTCACTCCAGTCATTAGGAGAATAAGAGCTATGTCTACCCTTTACAGGTGCATGGAGATTTTTAAAGCCAGACCCTTTAAATATTACTCAAAATTGAGGTTTTGTGAGTCATTAGCATTATCCCCTCTTTTTGAGGCACTGAAAAAGACTTCCCTGGGTCTCTGTCCTAGTTTGCAATATAGAGGGGGGAAAGTGATCTGGAGAGTTGGAAAGCAGGCTATATAAATAAGCCAAGCCATGTCTGATGTGAGAGAGATCAGCACAGGCTTTCTTAAAGTCAGAGGAACCTCTGAGGAAGGCCTACCCAAGAAGTGGGAGAAGAAATGTTGCAGATGTAACACCTTCCACAAGGGTGAGGGGGGAGCAAACACGACCTGGATTTCCGATAAAGATTTAAAGTCCTCTTCGTAATAGAAGCTTCGAAGAGGGAGCTTTCCAGTTTGTGGTAAATATTCCAGTGCTTTGTCACTGGATCCCCTAGTTAAAGTGGGGATCACAACATTAGGAGTCATGAGGGAAGGTAATTGGGATGACAAAACAAATTGCCTTGCTGACTGGACTACAGCCAGAGTGGACCCCACAAGAGGGGGATTATGAATGTGTTCAGCAGATCTTCCCCAGTACAAGGGAGGATTCATAAAAGAATAATAGTGATTTGATTGTACCATCTGGATCCAACGTTTTTTTAAGAACCATGTTTACACTAGTTCTGGCGATATGTACTGCTTTGTGGTATTTTTAGAGGGTTGGAGCATCAACATATGATTGAGTCTATGACACTTGTGGGCCCACAGGAATCGACAAAACTCTCTTCACGCCTGCCTCAAGAAAGACTCAGGGATGCAAACTGGTAAAGTTTGGAGAATATATAACAATATTGGTAGTAGATTAATTTAGTACTGTTTCAGCCAAACCAAGTGAAAGAATAGATGACCAACATTGCAGATCCTGTCAGAGTTTTGTGAGAAAAGGCAGGAAATTAGCTGCGTAAACCCTCCTAAGAGCAAAGGTAGATCCCTAGATGTTTAATCTGATCCTTTGCCCACTGGAATGTAAAATGTGGGAAAACAGCTTCTAAAACCGACACAGGGACATTGCCGGTTTAAGGTTTCAGACTTCTATAGATTGATCCTGAAATTGGACAAGCCACTAGAACAATTAATTTTGGACAGAAGGTTTGGAAGAGAGGAGATTGGGTGCATCACAAAAAACAGCATGTCGTCTGCAAAGCCCGCCACCTTATGCTCATCCCGACGTAGCCTCCATCTTCTAATGTTTGTATTTGCTCTGATATGACAAAGCAAAGGTTCCAATGTGATAATGAAAAGAAGAGGAGACCGCAGACAACCCTGTCGGGTATCATTCAGTAGGGGAAAATGTCCTGATAGAGCGTCATTCACTCTCACCGGCACGAAGCAGCGTGAATTTCAATTTACAACCTTAGAGAAGATCTAAAAGAAGCCATTAGCAATCCTCCTTAAATTCCTTAAAAATTAGGTACTTAGTTTAAGGTTAGACCCAAAAGTTTTCATACATATAAGAAAAGAATATACATTGGCATGTACCACCTAATTCTTTGCACTTAAAATATAAAAACCCCATTATTAGTAATACACACCAATATATTTCAATGGGTACACTCAAACAATATATAATGAATATAGTTTGGATATATAAAAGTACATGTATAACATTTTACTTAAAAATCAATTAAGTAGGTATATAGATGCCACATATAATATAATAATATAATAACATTGTTGTTAATATTTATTACTGCAATGAATAGTAAGGTTTCATAAGGAACTTTTAAATAAGCCCCTTTCTTCAATACATTGAACAAAGAGAAACTCCAATTTCTTGTAGGGAGGCAAGAAGGTAATCAATCAAGCCCTACCCAGGCTAGCACTATCTTTAACTGATATGTGTCTGAGACCCCCACCATTTACGATCCGAAGAATGTTTATATTAACATTCCTAATTTCTCTGTGAAGGTCTCTGTACAAGAAAAGAATGAACTTATTTTCACCTTATAGCACATAGACAAAATGGCTGCTAGTATGCCCATAGACACATCTGTAAAATGACATGTTTAGGCCTATGAAATCGATTCCTTTTGGCCCAATAGTTCTGACAATCTGTTGAAAATGGTAACAGTGAGGTGTCTGTATAGTGAGCCATATGAATGGCTTCCAGGGTCCTTGTATTTTTCACTTGCCTGTTAGGGACAAACCCTACTTGATATGGATAAGACATGCAATCAATTTTGCTAAACAAAATTTAAAAGGTTTTAGATCAACATAAAGTAGCAAAATTGGGTGGTAGCTGGAGCACTGGGTCAGATCTTTTCCATCCTTTGGGATAACCATGATGGCATGAGCGTGCCTGGAAACGCATGCCCCCCAAGGACAGAGTTGAAGGCATGAAGGAAGGGCTTTGTCTGGGAAAGATAAATTGTAATAGAGGATTTTCGTATAGGATGGCCTCTACGAAAACCAAATCTCATAAGGCTCTGGGCCCACATGTAAGAGTAAAAGAAAAACCATGTGGGCCCGGAGTCTTATGAGGCTTGGTTTTCGTATTATATAGACTGTTCACTAAGCCATAACTATCGCTCTCTGCCATGGTTATAATGGCTTGGGCCATGATCCAGTGAAAGATGAAAATACCAATCAGGGTAAATAACTAATTCTAGCATGATGAGCAGAGTCTTTACATTGCCTTAGTCTGTGTTGTCTTTCTGAGAACTGCAGCCCATTACGTATTAAAGTAGTTGCAGCAACCGTATCCATTAAACACATAAACACCACACATTGTTTATATTCTGCAGGCAAGTGGATTGACTGAAGAGCAGCCTGCTGGTGTTGGCACTCCACTGCCATCTGTTTCTGCACTTTGTCATATATGTAACAAGCCTTTAAGAAATAGTGCCGCAAGTTTACAAAGCTCCGCACAAGAGAGACGTAGAGGAAGGCCGTCCAGACAGCTCTTCTCAGAGATAGAGCAGAAGTACTACAATCAGCTCATACAAAGGCCCATTCCAGAGGGTGAGTTTACCTTGCATCAGCTTCTAATTCTCCCTCTTCTCAGGATATGTATGTGACATTCCTCCAAGTATGGTTGGTTTATTTTGAAGTAGGCTCTTAGTTCTATGGAGATTTAAAGGGAGTAGACTTCAGGTGAACTAGTGTTAACCTTTACCTGCCTGTCAGAATTTATGGCCCCATTATTTGTAGGGAGCAGCTATTTGCCAACTGAAGCAGCTGGAAAATCCCTAAACTAAACACGCATCTATGGGTTAAGCCAGTAGGGTTTCAAAAGAAATCATAATTGTACTCCTGCTTGAATTGGCACCTATATCTTTTACCCAAAAAGGTTTCATTTATCTAGTTTGCTGTGTTTTTGTGTGTGTTATATATAGCTAATTATTCATTTCTGTTATTATTCTGTACATCAAAACGAATGCTTTGCAACTTTTTTCCCCACATATAGACAAGAAACAAGCATGGTGGTGGATAAAAGATCCAGCTATGCTAGAGGCCTTAATAAAAGCCCTCCACCCACGTGGAATGCGGGAAAAGTCTTTGCACAAACACCTCACAAAGCATCTCGGGCACCTCAAGGAAATGTGTGCTCGGGCATCTTCCGGTAAGAGGTTTCATGTAAAATATTGATAAACCAATGCACAAGGCTACATAGGTCAAGAAATACTTTATACACTGTAATTTTATGTAATCTATTAGTAAACAATGTTTTTGTCTGCCTTTTAAGATGCAATCTTTGAGTTCAAACCTTCAGAAGGTCACCTTGTGAGTCAAGAAACACTGGAAAAATGGTCAGTAGAACAGTGGTCATTTCAAGCGGATCTGTCTGTCCTTAAGTGGGTAGAAGACCTGGAGCAAAGGATCATGTCGTCAGATCTTCAGATAAGGGTCAGTTGCAACGATCATTACTTTTTTACACTGTAACAGGCTGCAAAACAATATTATTTCTGTTTATGATATAATACGAGCAATGGTAACTAGTATTTCCCCAGCGTCCATTGAGGGGCGCAGCTCTGAAGAATTCTTAGACGTAGACTTATGCTGCTGCCTTCAGGTGAAATGCACACTAGGCAAAAATTTAAAAGCCTGCCTTTAAGATCATAACCCCTCCCACCTCACCTTCCAGTTTCAATTGGTGTCTCCTTCTCCTTTTTTATATTGGTTTGTTTTTTCTTTCTTTGGTGAGATTCTACTATCAAGAGCTGCTTGTTGATTCATGCAGGATAGTAAATCCTGGAGGTTTCCCTAGCTAGCTGGCAAAAATGAGAGTTTTATGCCGGATAAGTTAAAGTATTCTCTAGTTGTCAGGAAGCAGGTCATTTCTAGTCTCTGTACTGATAATTAGTCCTGCGGTTTCCCCATGGTCATCTATTCATTTAAAGAGCACAGGTTTTTCCAATCACCACACTGTAGATCCTTCCTGCAATGGTCCTGTGTGCCTATCTGGTGAGGTATGTATTTCAGCCACCATTTCTGAGATCAGGCCAGTTTTGTCTGGGGATTCCTTTTTATGTTGAAACCAGGGCCATGGAGGTTGTGAGTACTTTAACCTCTTCTTTTTTTTTTTTTTTTTTACCATGGTGATTTTTTTACCTTTTATTTAAATGAAGGCATTGTTTTAGCTTTGCTTTGTCCGACTGAAAGGTTGTTCAGCTTCTAGATCCACTATTTTCTAAGTGGATTCATCTGATTGTAATTCGAGCTTGTGCGTTGCAGGATAAGGTACCTCCCGTTCCCATTTCTACTCATTCATCTATAGACCCATTAGTGATTCTTGGGCCTTTGATAATCTGGCTTCAGTTGCTCAAATTTGTAAAGCTGCAACATGGTTTTCTGTTCATGCATTTGCAAAGATTTTTAAAGTTGATGTTTTCTGCCTTCTATGAAACAAGTTTTGGCAGAAACGTTCTTCAGGTGGTTGTTTAAGGTAAATTTGTTTGACAGTTCTTTTGTAGTTGAGCTGTTTCTTCTAGTTGTTACGGGGCCAGCACCTCTGTTTGGACTGCTTTTGGAAGTCCCTACATCTCAATTCTTCAGAGCTTTGCCCCTCAATGGATGAAGGAGAAATTAGGATTTTATTCTTGCCATAAATCCTTGTTTGGTTAGTTTAGCATGTTCCTGAATTGCACACCCTTTGAATTTCACCAATGAAATAAGAAAAATGTGTTTTCACACACTTTTTTTTTTACTTTAAGTTAATTAAGGCTCACAGGTACCATCTTAGTTTGTTATTACTATATTGTTTGCACTTTATGTAATATTTGTTGTTCTTAATCTCTTTTCACAATTACACCGACTGATAAATAAAGTGACTAGTGCTATATAGCCCACAGTGGAGAAGCACTTCCAACTACCCATGGGCAGCAAGTTTGCCCCTGAGGTTATGCTTTGCCTCAATCTCAAGGCTTTCATAGGCAAGGCATATACTCCAGGGGTAATGCTGTGTCCCTCAGTAAACTTAACGAGAAAGGGACTTTACACTTATATTTGACTTTGTAAATATTGTGTTTTTAGGGCTGGTGTCCTCCGAGCTTAGACTTAATCCGAAGTGATCTGAAGTATTTTGAGCACAAGGTGGATGCATCAGATGATATCCTGGCCAAAGTGAAGAGAGAAGAGGTGCGATTACACAGGGAGCCAGACAATCCATTGGACATAGCTGTGCTACGGCTTCTAGATCTGGAACAGAATGTTGAGAGAAGATACCTGAAGGAACCGCTGTGGATACTGAGTGAGGTGCAGCATGAGAAGATTGTAACTACTGACCCAGAGACGATGATTACCACTGAGAAGTAAGGACATGATTCCTTATTTAAGTCCTTTTTATGTTTAAACCTACTTTTCGAGTTTTTCTGTGACGTATATGAGCAGAAACTAACCCATCATATGTCCCTTTTTTTGTTGTTAAACTAGTCAGTACAGCATTACTTCTCGCATGCGTTTGTGGCGACAGACAGTGGACCGGTGCAGAAGTTCTGCTCAGCTATGTCTGTGCCTGCAGCAGCTGGAGAAGTCCCTGGCATGGGAACGATCAGTTAGTATAGTGGTAAGTACTTTCTTTGTTGGTCCTCATTCTATTTGTTAAACGCAGTTTTTTTTGTTCAGTGGAACTGGAAATATATATTTCAAGCTAAACTCCAGACAGATTAAAAAAAAAAAAGGCACAACAAAATAACAGTTCTGTATTTTAATAGACCATTACAATTAATTTCTAGCTCGTCCATTGAGGGACACAGGAAGTCCTTCATCTTTGTGTTATGGAGAGAAAAAAAAATAGGATGCCAGCCCAGAATAACCCTTTTTACTACTGGCATTTCTTAAGCTTTTCTCTTCTGTTCATTGAAGGACAGTGGAGATCTTGAATCTTTGACTGTTGGATTATGGCACCACCTTCAGGAGTAGGACACAAAAACAAAGTACAGCCTAGGAGTGGTCAAACCTCATCTACTAGAGGCAGCTCGGTTTTTTGCTTAGTGTCTAAGCTCCCTCTTGGGAATCTTTTGGTCTTTCTTTTTGCATAGAATTATTTTCTTTATCTTAAGGTAGTATTAAAGCCTCATGGTCTTTATCCTAATTACATTTGTATTGGCCAGTTGAGCATAGGACATAAAATGTGTGTTATCCAGAAACACTTACAATTGGTTTGTTTAGCGCTGCCGGCCTCCAGCTTGCTCTGTGCCGCTTTCCTGATTGTCCAGTCAGACTGCGTACCTTGTACACTTCACATCATCACCATTCAGTACTGTCTCAGCATCTACTCTAACCAAAGCCTTTTGTGGCGGAGGAAGGACATGGCTTTGACTGCTGGACTTATGAGCTGCTAGCCTATCGGGATGTAGTGTTCCCAGGAGCGCACACAGAAGGGTGGCTCCAGGAGACCCTACAAAGAAACGTAACCACCGATTGACAGCAATGGAGTGGAGAGATATTATAAAGGCTGGCAGGCTGCAAATGAAAAGCACATAGCAAGCAATGGAGGAACTGAGGTATGCTGCTATAAGTGGGGTGTTTTTTGGTTTTTATAAATATGGAGGGTTTAGTAACACTTTTAAACTCGAACGCTCCGGTCCAGGAGCCCCATTTGACTCCACCTTCTCCAAGTTCCACCATCTCTAGGCTCAGACATACTATTATTCAAGCTTATGGTCTCCAGGTTTGGGTTCTACCTTTTCCTTCCAAGGCTCACTGTACTAGATCTGAGAGTGCTTTTCGGCATTGAGCAAATGGTTCTCAGATTTGCAAGGCTGCCACTTGATATTCTGTTCACAACCTTTCTACCATGTAGCCTTATCTGATGCCAGCTTCATGCATAAGGTCAGCTAATAGTTCTCCGTTTTCTTAGTTGCCTGCTAGGGTTAGTTTGTTGTGCTGCCTCCCCCCTCAGGTGGACTGCTTGTGGATTTTCTGAAGGTTGAAGACTGCTTTTGTTCCTTAATGCATGAGAAAGGAATTGAGATTTTTGTATTTGCCTAAAAATCCTTCTCTTGGAGTCCATTGAGGAACACAGGCCCAATCCCTCTGTTTTTATAATCAATGCTACAAAGCTTGGCTACAAAGAGCCCTGGGAAGACCTACAGTTATTTTGTTTGCCAGTGGCCAGTCTTCATGTAGGTGGCAATTTAATTAAAAGGTGAAAAACGTCCCTCAGTGCACTCCAAAGAACAGGATTTTATGGCGAGTAAAAAATCCTATGAATTCCTATCTAAAATAAAAAGCAGAGTAATTACCTGATTGTGACTGGGTACCAGCCTCTTGCTATCCCCTGTACATCACAGCTCAGACTGGGAAAGGCAGAAGCAGTGCAACGGGTCAATAAGTTGTGCTGCAGTGCTTATGTGCTGAAAAGGAAAATACAGATGGGAGAAGAGCATGATAACAGAGTGATGAACTTCTCAATCTTGTGCTTCTCCTTTCACTGTCCAGTCACAGGTTAGGGGGAGGACAAGACCTGTAAGTACTAGTTTGCAGCAGATTAAAAAAAAAAAATCAGGTCTTCCAGCCCTGCAATACAATGATGTCATGTGTCACCGAGCTGTGTGAATCTCAGGACCAGGTTGACAGAAGTACAAACCCTTACAACATTAACCGTGTGTTCCTACGGTTACAGACTTGCATATATTGTCGGAAGGGAGACAACGATGAGAGTTTGCTGCTTTGTGACAGCTGTGACCGTGGCTGTCACACTTATTGCCACCGGCCTCAAATGGCAGAGATTCCAGAAGGGGATTGGTTTTGTCCTAACTGTGTGGCTCAGGTAAGTGTGCTTTAGCAGACTGCATATAACAGTATATGAATATGGTGATGCTTTTCATTTTGTGGTCCTCAGATCGCTTTAGCTTAGCTGCACTCATTTAGTTCATTGTGATATCAAACATTTATATTTCTCTTATTGCTCACATCATGTGCTTGGTGCTGGACTGCAGCTGTCACTGACTGTCAGGGGTTCCAGCACGTACCTCTGTCAGAAACTGCAAAGCCACTAAGGGGCAATCATGTCATTCCGGCACCTTTTAATAACTTGTTTCCAGTCTTTTTTCTCCCCAACTCATCTTGTGTCCCAGAGACTTTTTATTTTAATTTCGTCAATGTCTTGGTTCTGCAATGTATCTTTTGCTGTCTACCCTAATGTATTGTATATTGCTTTTTTGTGGGGGGGGCATACGGGGATTTAATTTAGTAGCAACTTTGGATGCACATGTTTATTTCCTTGTTTTTCATTGGGAATAAATAGTAAAGAGAAGAAAAAAAAAGCATTTTCCTAACTGTGAAGCTCTGTCTGAGCTTCTGTACTGACAGGAAGTGCGCTTCTGTACTGGCAGGAAGTGCGCTTCTGTACTGACAGGAAGTGCAATGACATCGCTACACTTACGATGTAAACAGTATGGAAGCATAATGTTTACTTTCACTTCTACAGCACACTTCTATGGAGCAATAAGCATTGGAAGCCCATGAGCTGATCATTTTAACTCCTATGCGTTCTCCTGAATGCCGCCTGTCACTTAATCTGAACCCCTGCTGGGACCCACAAGAGCTGCTGATTCCCGGTGAAATTTTAAAACTGTACTGGAATGAATAGCATTGTTTCACAAGCAGTCCATTACTTCTGCCTAAAGAGTTGTTTGTAGTTCCTTTTGAACAATGATTCCCAGATGGTTAATATGCTCTGCACTTCTTTCTTTAGCAAAGTGAAAGCGAGTATTTAAAACCCAGTGGTTCTTCACGGCGGATAAAGAAGAGTGTTCAGCGCTATCAAGATAACAGTCCTATAAAGCAGTCACGACGAAGAGAACAGCCTGCCACACCGCAGTCTCCAGCAGAAAGCTCACTTGTGAAGAAACGGAGAATCGGCACAAGAAGTCAGAGTCCTGATTTAACCTTCTGCGAGTAAGTGACCCATTTTATATGTTCTCTAAGTTTTAACTTTGAGGGTTTTCGCCCCTCATGTATTCCATAGACTGGTAATGCCTTACGAAATCAAATGTGCATTTAGAAGTTTACGGTATATGCTTTGATAAATGCTGACCATACACTTCTAGATTTTCTGCAGTTGATGCAGCTGCTGCTAAGACTGGCAAAAAAGCCAGGGGCACCTCTGTGTGGGGTCCTGCATGCTGTGAGTAAAGGTGATTGTAGATCCTGCCTTAAGCTGGCCATACACCTATAGATTATATGCAGATTTTCTATGGTCAGATGGAAAAAGTGCAACAGATTCCTCCATCTACGTTAAACTGTGTGGGTGGAGAAAACTCCCGCTGGACCAAGCTTCGGTATCTTGCTAGTCGTCCCTGCTGGCTCTTAAAATACCTGAACAATCTGATTGGATACAGGCATTGTTCAGGGATTTTGAGAGCCGGCGTTCCAGAGCAGAAAAAATAGTGCTTGCTGCAGTTTTCCACATGCTCTGGAACTGAACGCTCCGGGGTGAACTAGAGCCCAAAATACAATTGGAATACATTGGACACAGTTTTGATCTGTTCTGTAACTGCTCTGCGCTTGGTGTGAACTAGCCCTTATTATGACTTGGAGACCGGGCATTACACTCTGTGTACTAGTTTGCTACAAGTGTAAAACCCTTAAGTTAAATAGAGCGTGGACATATAGCTATGGCTGAATGTTTTTGTGTTTCAGAATTATATTAATGGAGATGGAGTCGCATGATGATGCATGGCCCTTTCTGGAACCTGTGAACCCACGGCTTGTTCCTGGCTACAGAAAGATCATCCAAAACCCGATGGACTTTTCTACCATGCGAAACAAGTTGCTGAATGGAAGGTAAGTGTTTTTGGATTGGCTGTAAATTTCCCTGTAGTGGATGAATTAAGAGTCTCGTGTAGAGAGGAGATAATCAATTTGCAAATGGGAAGAAGTACAATTTTTATTTATGCAGATTTGTCCCGTCTCAAGGGAATCGTACAATCCTCACATAAAAGTGCTTGGATTATAGGAATCTCCGTGGATCAGATGGGTTTTCTCCTGATTCTTTTCAGAATCTGATCTACAGAGAATTCTGACATTCAGCAACCCAGACAGTTCTAATTTATGATGTGTATTGTGTATGATTCTCTGCAGTTTAGAAAAGTCTGTATGAATCAATCAAAGTAAAATCTGCATTTTATTGATTCATCTGATTTGTGAATTGATCTGCTTATCTCTAGTAAAAGACAAAATGTGTTGGCACACAAACAAAGGAGTGCTGAGGCATATGTGCAGGCTGTCAATTCTGACCTCTGCATCTAAAAATGCTAGCACTTGTGCCATTCGAATTATATCATTGACCTGGAGAAAGTCTCCAGATTGTAGTTCTGAGTTTCCTCATTGCATAAGTGTTCTGTGATTGTCAGAGATAGGTAGCAACTAGCTTTTTCAGAAATCCGGTCCTTGAGAGTGGTGACGGAATTACTTTTCTTTAATTTAGTAAGTACAAAACAATAATCCTGTTAATCCTGCCAGATATCCAGTGCAAGGGAGTATTGTCCCCCTAAAGGCCAGTGTTTTATTGGCAGGATTACACAAGGTAAAAAGGATAAAAGCCAAAAGGTAACAAATGCAACCACCACATGTAAGGAGTGGTAAGCTGTAATATTCTACATTTTAGCTACTTAGATACACATTTAGGGGTCTATAAATCTTCCACCCAGTCATATTTTGGATAAATGCAGTTCACACGACCTTCCCAGATACTATTGAGAAAAGCTTTTATTAGAGAGACATTTAACAGTCCTCAAGTCAAACGGGCAGAGCATGGTTGCCAATCATCAATAGAGAATGTTGCCCCTAGTTCAGCTTCCCATGCAGCCATGCAGGCCAATTCAGTAAAGGATCCTAGCTGCGAGGCATATATGAGGGAAATGCCTCCGCCTTGACCAGCCTGTCCTGAACACCACCGTTCATAATGAGTCAACAAGGGAAGCCCAACATCTGCAGGGAGTGTAAAAAGTGCTGTAATTGTCTAAATCTAAACATTTCCGATGATGGCATCTATAAAGTATTTTGACAGTATGATAGGGACAGTGGCTTGCGGAATTTAATAAAATCTCCGATCTGATACAATCCTTTTATCAAGCCCCCACTGGAAGGCCTTGGTCTGCATTCCCGGCTGCAAGTTTACATTACCAAACATGGGCGCAAGAGGGGTAGGAGAGGAGACCAAGCTATCAATTCCCCGCAGCCGGTCCCACAAGGCCATTGAGTGCGACAAGGTAGGAGCCATGATCACCGGTCTCGCTGCATCCATTGAAATAAATCAATCGAAGAGATTGTAGACTAGCAAGTTTCTATGATGGCTTCGTCGGGAGGGGCTGTAGGACGCTAGATGGAGGAGAGTTGTGACAACTGTGCAGCCCGATAGTATAGGAGTAGATTAGAGACCACCATGCCGTTTAAATTTGAAAAGGGGTCACCTTTGAGATTTTAGAGCGCTTGTCACCCCAGATAAATTAAATGATCGATGTTTGAAATTTCAGAAGGTCAACTCGTTGGATGGGTATCGGTAATGTCCTAAAATAGTATAGAATCTTAGGGAATAAGGTAATTTTGACGGCTTGTAAGCGATCCAACCAAGATAAGTTATATTCATATCTTCTCTAAGCGTTGTATAAAGTGGGGGGTAGTTAGCAGAATGCAATTGAGCAAAGTAGGGTGTAAGTTTAATACCTAGGTACTGAAGAAAGTCAGAACACCATTCAAAAGGGAAGGAGTATCTGAGCCGCGACCACGGGTCAGGCGAGAGATTGATATTGAGTGCCACTGACTTCAGAAGCATTGACTTGGAGCCCGGATACCTGTGCGAATCCCAAAAGTGAGGCTTCTAATGGTTATGGTAGGTAGGTGGCAGAGTGCCTGAGAGTTATAAGGATTAGGGAGCTAATTCAGCACATTAACATCCTCCCAAATCTTGTGGAAGTGGGTATCTGTAGATTTATCTGCCTGTGCTTACATATTAGGTGTGATTGAATTAGCACTTAGAGTTTACCTTTCTCTGTCCGACAGGTATTCCAGTTGTGAGGAATTTGCAGAAGATGCTAAACTTGTCTTTAGCAACTGCCAGCTGTTTAATGAAGATGACTCTGAAGTCGGGAAGGCTGGCTTGGTCCTGAAGAAGTTCTATGAAAGCCGCTGGGAGGAGTTTAGTCAAGAACGTGAAACCAATTCCCTTTGAGACGAAGTCCCCATGTTCTTAAATTGACGTTATTTGTGCATCCCTGCAACACTGAAAACGGGTTCAGCTCTTTTGTCGTCTATTACCTTTCAAGGTCCTGCACTCCACTTTGGAAGGAAATATTGGCAGCACAGGGGTTACTTCTCATTATACAGCATCCCCTTCCGTCTAAGCCAGTTCATCCAGCGGGTCTGAATCCCTTCTGTTCCTTAACAAATATGTCTTTGATCTTTTCAATGTCAATCTAGCCTCCCCCTGTTCTCAGAATGGCTGACCTACCAGATGGTCAGCGTGTTCAGCTCCACTCCGCTGTGTGCACAGTCATTTCTCTGCATCAGACCAAACATATCCCACTTCTGATGATGTGCCTAGGGTGTGTCCATTGGCGTGTATAAGGACATGTTTCATGCCTAATGAACTTGCATAATACAACTGCAACGTGCATGTTTTCCATTCCTTCTACGCTACGGACATAATGTGCGTGATGCATATATTTATACCTAATTTAAACATACAAATGGGCACATTTTTCCTAAAGAAATACATTCTAGTTACTTGTACATATTTGTCACATGAACATTTAACACTTTACACACAACTTGGCTCACACTCTTCCCGTGATCATTGTTCAAATTCGACAGGACGTATTTAATAGCAATAGTGAATTTGTGCATTATTTTTTAGGACCGTAGATGAGGTATCTGCTCCATAGCTTCTCTACAGATGCGTATTGTTATGTGGCCAGTAATCTGGGGGGGGGGAGCCCTGACAAACAATATCCCTTTATGTCCTGGGCTGAACTCCTCAGCTGTCACGTCTTGTTCAGTGTGCTGCTTCCACTGGTTATCACTGTTTGTTGTACAAACCATTATTTTGTCCTCTTTCTTCTTTGGCACTACCTCCTCCATGCCATTGGCTTCCTTATCCTTCGTATTTCCCCCTCCTTATTTTTAGGCCAAGAGGTACCATCTAACCTGCAATGTACCTCTGACCGTCATAGGCCTTAAGCACTACAGGGTTCCCAGAGGACATTCACTACCATTTTCCCAGCTTTATGTTGATGAACTGGTGGAGAATGATGCGTCATCCTTTGTTTTTATGTATATTGTAAATGTATTTATCACAGTGCTTGCTGTACAGGTCATTTGCTTTTGGTATTTAATATCTTGCCCTCACTGTGTTTTTAAGAAGTATATATTTAGAAATGTTTTCAGAACCAAGTAGAATGCTACTTATTCCTCAGTTTAGCTGGCAGCTTCCAGCATTCAAAGGTTTCCATTAAGCCAGAGATTCCATTTCTCCTGACTGTTGGTCATAACCTCAACCATGCCCACTGTTCCACTGTTGTTGGCTTTCCAAGATCTGTAACAATTAGTTCAGCGTTCTTTTGTGCAGTAGAGGGATTTGTCTTCCCTTATCTTCCAGTAGGATCCTTTTTTATGGAATTGTCTGTATTTTCCATGCGCCGTGTACACCTTTTTAGGTCTCATTGTATGCACTGTATGCTCTACTGCTGTAGGGACCTGTTGGCCTTTGCACTGATTTGGTTCCCTACACTGCATATGTTTATGATCCAGCAAGCTTGTACAAAGAATACATAAAGTGACAGATGTGAAAGTACAGACAGGCATGAAAGAGGAGACCGTGTGCTTTATATGAGTCAGTCCCTAAAATATGTTTTATTTTGGAAGCCTCTTATCTCTCCATTGTCATTTACAATTAGGTGTGTTCTAGAGTATCATTTATCAATCTATCATGGAACCATTGGTGCCAGCACATTCCATGACTCTGCTGTGCTCCTAGTTCTGCCGAAAACAAAGCTCTGTCTATAGTTCTTTCACTAGATGCTTCTGTAGTTTTACTGCCCACACTAGTCCGGTGTACCTGTTCTTGCACTTTAGAGGTCAGCCTGTCTTTGGAGACAGAACTGTACCCAAAATCAGTTTATTCAAATCCACTGAAAAGCCTTTGGTCAGAACTTCCCTTGCTGGTAGATATAGTTGAGATAAGTCCGTTGTCCCCCGTACTGTGCAAACTTGCTGTGTAGACTAGAGCTACAACACGCCTTCCTAACCCGCTTCCCTTGTTCTACTGGGGCAGAGCAGTTACTTAGAGCAATATTAGATGTGCAGCAAGCCTGTTGCATTGTAAAGCAATAAGCAATGTGTTCTAGCACACAGCACAGTTAAACGACCCCCCCTTCCCGTGTTTGTAAATACATGATTACGTACGAAGATCTTACACTGGATTTTTCTCATATTAAGAGACACGATGGACTCGGAAGCTCATAGGAATATTGGTCACCATGGAATACACGAATATCGGCTTCAGTCTAAGGCAGAACTAGGTATGAACTCAAATAAGATGGCACCACAGCAAATAAAAACAAAATATTTTTGTATTTGGGAAGCTGAAGATTTTTTTTTTATTTTACTATTGAACAGTAGATGATCAGACTCTTTAATTGACTTTATAAGATGCAGAAATATTTATTTTATCTAAGTGACAGTGCTGTATTGTTTTTGTTACCTATTGTTGGAACCTTTTGTTACACAATATTGTTTATATTTTTGTTGCAATATTTGAGGTCACCTTCTGTCTGGTTTCTTTGGGTATTTTCTTAATGTTTGGAGTTAGCAGATGAAATTAAAACCCCCACCCATTGTTTTAGAGCAGATAAACTTTGTATGACTCAAGTCGTATGAAGTACCGTGTTTTTATGCATAATTCGGGTTAAGAGGGTGGGGGGGGGGCAGGGGGGGTGTGTAACGATCATTGGTCTCTATACAGAATGTTCTAGCCTCTTGGTAACTTCTATTGTAAACCTGGTTTTATCAAGATTTGGGATTTTGATGTTGTAGATCAAGTATCCTCTATAGTATATGTCTGTAAGATCCCTTCTAAGTATGTATATTCTTTGGTGAGAGGCTACGACTTTGGCTTGCCTGCCTCCTGCTATACCTAAAGACTAAACATTGGAATAGAAGCTGGTCCAGGTGCAAGGGGTATGGTCAAAGTTTCAAGCTGAGGATTGGATGACAATATTTTCTTGGCATAAAGGTATTTGTAACTTAAGGTTCATGTTTTCCAACTGATTGCCAATTGTTGATACTGTCAGTCTATTCCAAGTTGAAGGGACCTGTCTAGGCAAGCGTTTAAAATCAAACTACAGCCCCAGTGCCTAAGGATGATGCAGTCCACTTGTCTTTAGGTAGGACACAGTGCTAAAGACCGGTTTGTATTAACCCCCTCACGACCTTTGACAGGATAATCCCGTCATAAAGTCGGAAGGGTTTACACAAAGTCCAGGCGGAGTCTGTTCCGTTTTGTCGAGCTGGCGACCGGCTTAACAGTAGAAGCGATTCTGGCGGCTCAGCTGCCGCAAATCGCTTCTACGATCCGGTAACCAGGAAGCCCCCACGCCGACACCCCCTACCTTGTTTCCTGGACTCTGTTGCTCCTCCTACGGGCCTGGGACCGGCTTGCCGGGTGTCGGTGGGAAGCTCGGGAGGAAAGTGGTGAACGTCCGTGCGCCGTTTCCCTCCCCGTCCTATGGGACCGGGAGCGACGCGTATTGCATCACTTCCGGTCCCATTCCTGTCAGCTCTGGGCTCCTGAAGCTCAGCAATATGCTATTGAAGTGCAATCTACACTTCAATATCTTATTTAGAGTCTAAAGGTGACACTGGGGGTCTTTTGGACCCGCTGGAATCACCTTAGAGTGTACCTGTCACTGCCATTATGCTATCACATGGGGGCTTGTAAGCCCCCCTATATGATAGCAATTAAAGTAAAGTTAAAAGAAAAATTGTTTTAAAAATAAGATTAAATAAGTTAAATGTAAAAAAAAAATGTTAAGTCCCCCGGCCCTGCGAGCACGTGCGTCGTCACATAAACACGCATCGGGTGCGTCTACGTACGAAAATCAGGATTGCGCTAAACATGTTGGGTATCGCCGCAAACGCCGGAGTGAGAGCAATAATTCTAGGGCCAATATTTACACGCATCTCTAAACGGATGACCTGTAGCGGTTTTTAAAGCGTCGTATATGTACTTTTTGGGGTACTGAATTCTGTCGCAGTTTTCACAGACGCACACAATTTTTAACCTGGGCATGTGGGGTATCTATTTACTCGTTGTAACCTCACCTTTGCTATTTTACAAAAACATTGGTTTTATCTTGTGCTTCAGGGCACTAAATTTAACTTAAGTGCATTTTTCACTAGATTTTTGGGTTTGATAAGTTGAGCTATGTCGTGCAACATAAAAATTTGCAACTGCCACCCTTATATTCTACAGGTTCTTGGCTTTCAGAAAATATGTTTTGGGGTTTTAAGTAATTTTCAGGCCGAAAATGTGGAGTATATCAGGTAAACAAAAAATGAAAAACAAGCTTTTGTCCTTTTAAGGAGTTAAACCACTCAGAATATTGGAGTTCTTAGTGCATCAGGGACATTCAATGAACGGCCCCTTTTTGATGCTAGTGTTATGCTTTTATCTCGATATAGCATCATTTTTCCCTCAGTGATCATACTCCGTGTTCCTTGGCTGGCTTTTGTTTTACCAGTGTATAAGCCATCCCCAGATGCTTAAAGTAAACCTGTCATATATATGGGCAATTCAAACCGAGTATCTAATGGTAAAATGCATAAGCAGAGGCTACCTTCAGTGAGAAATCAAATGTCAGAACTATCACTATATCAAGGGTCAGACTAATGCGTATGTAAATCTTCACCTGCACCATAATAGACAAGCATTGCTTCTCTGATCCTTTAAAATGATGGCAAAATTAAAGTGACGCTAAACTCAGGAGGTAAATCTTGAAAATGCATTCAAGTACCTTTTTACTATTAACAGAAATGTCTCTTATTTGTGTATCACTCGGCTGTAGATCCTCAAATCATCTCTGAATTGGTGCTGACACTGTCCTTCTGGAGGGTGGCTACTTTTGTTCCCCATGGTCCCTGTGTGTGTTGTAAAGTAGCCACCGCCCAAGCTCACTCCTGTGATGGACTACAATCTCACGTTTAGTTTACTAATTTGTATTGAGCTTGTAGTCCAGCACAGGAGCGAGCTTGGAGCGGTGGCTACTTTACAACACACACAGGGACCATGGGAACTAAAGTAGTCACCCTCCAGAAGGAAGGACAGTGTCCGCACCAATTCAGAGATGATTTTAGGATTTACAGCCGAGTGATACACAAATAAGA